GGAAGTCAGACACCTTGCAGGTACCCCATGGGCCCTAATCACTGTCCTAATCACCATCTCACATGGATAGAGGATTTGACTGTTTATAAAGTGCATTCATCACACCAGTACTGTGGAATGTTGAAAGCGTTATCATCCCCTTTTAGAGAGGAGATGCTGAGGCTTAAAGGAGGACGTTGAGGGCCCCTAAGACCATAGAGCTGGGAAGTAGGAAAGCCAGTGTTCTTTCCACTGTAGTACACTATTTCTTAGAGGATCACAAGAGAGCCGTAGACCCCCATTTTACATGGAATTGGCCCTTCTGGATTGATGACTGTGAATCCCTCTGCTTGGGTGAAGGCCAGTCACATGAGACCATGGACCGGGACCAGAGGCTGGTTTGGGTTCTTATTTATAGCACAAGAACATAAGTTCTGATCTAGGGGGAAGAGGGACAGGTCTCAGATCAACATTTAAGCTTAATTAGTCAGAGTTCATTTAACATTAAGAAGTGAGATGCAGTATGATTAGTGGAAAGAATAATGAACATAGTTGAGAGACTTGTGTTTGAGCCTCAGTTGAGATACCTGTGTCTTTGAATGGCAGTGAAGATAAAGGGATTGAAGAAGTCTCATCTGTTTACTCCTTCTCCTTCTGGACCCGAAGGCAGGCTCGCCTGGGGACCCAGATGTGGAAGAAGCACCATTTGGTACCAGGCAGTTAGAGACTGTACTTTCAGATTCCCAGTGTTCAACATTTGGGTATCAGCAGTACACTCTGCATAGAGTGGGCCCTTCTTGAACACTCCAGTCATCACAAATTGATACTGATTATGTTTTCTTTAAGATGAGAAAACTTTAGAAAAGTTGATTATTTTTATCCCTCATCATTAGGTAAATACTAATAAGAAATAGCAATATTTTTATCTTGGCATCTGTGAACATATGTTGAGCATCTACCATGGCTGAGGCGCTGAACATTTAAGAAATGAGCTTACATTCTAAAACTTACGATTTAGTATCATTTAGCATTCTAAACCTATTAACTAGAAAACCTATTAACTAGGAAAATAGAATTTTAATTCACTTAATTTTACTTCTGTTAATTTTTACAGATTAGACAAACATTAATGGTTTGATTATTTATGGTTTGTTAATCTGCTAAAAGCTTATGGCTTTCTTTGTGTGTACTATGAATATGAATAGAACACTTAATCTTAAACGCAATTATATCCTGCTTTCCCTGGTTATAGAAGGAAGAAGAACTTTCCAACCCCTTCCATTAGTCTCTGCTCAGATTCAGTGTGGGCCAGGGATCCCTGACCTAGCAAAGACTGCCAACTCAAGCAGCTTTAAATGCATTCTCTACAAGGCAGCATAGGGTTAGTGTGTGCCACCTCCTCGTCCCTCTGCCTTAGAGGGAAGGTAAAATCTTCTCCTGCCTTCCTTCTTAGAAAAGACTTCTCTAAATCAGGCTTGGTACTGAGCAGTGAAGATGAATGTCTCAAGAGTCTGCTTTTAACGTCATGGAAGAGAGAACAGAAATAGTCTGTTGAAATGAGCAAGGAATACTTGCTTGCATTTTAAAACAGTGATAGTATTTTGTTGGCACATTTGAAAGACTAGCATATGGAAGAGGGAGTAAGCTTGTTGTTGGCCCCAGCAGGGAAATGGCAGAGGGACTTAGGAAGGAGAAGAAAGAATTGTATAACAGAGCTGTCTGAAAGCAGAGTAGATTGCCTCCAGTACTTTAATGGGTTCACCTAGGAGGAGGTAGGGTGGCCTCTTATGAGAAGAGCTGTCTCAAGTCTGTAATTGTTTTCATAGCCTAGAGCTTAATTCATATATTGGTCTCCACTTAGGACATTAAGATGTAATTTAGGGGCAGCTAGGTGGCACAGTGGATAGAGCACTGGCCCTGAAGTCAGGAAAACCGGAGTTCAGATCCGGCTTCAGACACTTAACACTCACTAGCTGTGTGACTGAGCAAGGATTCTCTAAATTTGTGCATCTCACTTTTCTTTTGAGCTACTTCAATTCTGCTTTGCTCATAGAGCCCAGCACCTTCTCTGATGAGGGCATGTCATGCTGAGTGTCTCCCATGTCACACAATCAATTCCAGAGTTCTTAAGAGAGAGACCTTGAGAGTGTCTTTGTATGATTTCTTCTAACCACCGTGTGAAGGCTTGCGCTGTGTGAGTTCTCCATAAAATAGTCTTTTTGGTGAATATACATTTTGCATTCAAACAGTATGGCCAGCCCATTGGAGTTGCGCTCTCTGCAGTAGAGTTTAAATGCTTGGTGGTTTAGTTCAAGAAAGGACCTCAGTATCTGGTATTTTATCCTGCCAAGTGATCTTCAGAATCTTCCTAAGGCAATTCAAATGGAAGTGATTCAGTTTCCTGGCATGGCACTGATAGACTGTCCAGGTTTCACAGGCTTACAACAATGAGGTCAGCACGTTGGCTCTGTAGACCTTCAGTTTGGTGGTCAGTCTGACACCTCTTCTCTCCCACGCTATCCTTTGGAGCTTCCCAAACACCAAGCTAGCTCTGGCAATGTGTGTGTCAACATCATTACCATTGTATACACCCCTAGAAAGCACACTGCCAAAGTAAGTGAACTTACTCCCAGCATTCAAAACTTTTCCATTTGTTCTGATGGCTCCATGTATGGATGGTGTGGTGGTGGCTGATGGAGCACCTGTATTTTCTTGGTGTTAATTGTTAGACCAAAATAAGCAATATGCAATCAATGTAAGGTGTATTTGAGAAGGGGGCCACTGCTGGCGGGGAAGAAGGCTGTCCAGAAAGGCTTCATGCAGAAGGTGGGGCTGGGCTGAGTCCTAAAGGAAGCTGGAACATCCATCCATGTTGGTAATGATATTAGAAAGGTAGGTTAGAGCCAGGTTTTAAAAGCCAGTCAGTTTATATATTGCCATGGAGGCAGCCACTGGGGTTTATTAAGTAGGAGAGTGACCTCATCACACCTACAATTAAGGAAAAATTACCCTCAGCAGCCATATGAGGGCTAGGGAGCCCTGTAGTAGTGCAGGAGGAGGCAGTGAGGGCCTGCACTAAGATGGCGGCCATGTGCGTGGAGAGTCAGAGATGGACTGTGGGTAGAAGCAGAAATGACAGGCTTTTAGCTGCTGGTCTTTTTTCCTGAAATTAGTCACTAGAATGTTTCTCCTTTCCTTTCCTCATTTTCCATGAAAAATGTGCTTTAGATCACATCATTGTACTCTGTTTGGCTCTTAATTTTAGGATGCAGAGAAATTGAGTGACCCAGACCTATAAACAACCAGTGATCATTATCTATGACTGATCTGTGAAACCAGAGCCTTATCCTTGTTCTGAAAGGAGCTCCTTGTGAGAAATGCCCTTCACCAGTGCAGAATGGTCTCTGTATCTGAAAGCCTTAGTAAGATCCAGGGCCACCCAGGCCAGATGTGTCAGTGGTCAGCCTTGAAGCTGGGCTTGTCACCCCTCGGACCATCTGTGCTTCCACATAGCTGGCCCACTGCTCTGTGCAGGGTGAGAGCTTCATGCATTATCATCTTCACTTTGTAGCTGGGAAAACTGAGGTCTGGAGAAGGTTGTGTATGAGGTGTTGTGTGTGTGTGTGTGTGTGTGTGTGTGTGTGTGTGTGTGTGAAATTGCTTGTTATTTGGTGACTTGCCCAGGGGCATGGCAGGTAAGTGTTGGAGTGGGGAATGAACCCATCGACTTGATTTTCTGACTCCTGTGGTTTAGCAGGATTTCTAACTGTTAAGAGATTCTTTTTATTATGAAAGGAGGATGTTCTTTGGGCAAATTTGATTATGATTCATTTTTAAGGAGCGTTATCGGCCTCCAGTTGATTCAGAGCTAGTGGCTCCTTTGTTAGGTAGGTAGGGCCTTGTGCCATTGGCTAATGGCATGTTTGTGATGATAACAGTGTCCATTGGTGCCATCAAGTGTGGTCTCTCCAGAAAAAGCACCAAGGACCCCCTAGGCTTGGTGTGAGTCCAGGTTCCCTTAGGGAGTCATCCTCAGAGCAGTTAAGATGGACTGGCACATCCCTAACAATGGCATCCTCCTTACTATTTGGTGAATCAGGAATTGGGGCCTTTTCTACAGAGGGCCTTTGTCTGTAGGATTCATTTGCACTACTTAAAAGAGCTGGAGAGACTTGTTTTCCTTTGTAAAATGAAGTTAAAGTGATTTTTTTTCTGTTACAAGTATTATTACGTGATAAGAAATACTCTAATAAATGTATGTTTTACTTATATCCTAAAGCCTTTTTTAAAAAGAAAAAAAATAATTTTCAAAATACAGTAAATAAATACTTTCGAAGCAGGCAGTTTGACTTCTGTCAGTATTATTTTACCATGGTTAGTCTAATCATCTATTATGTGTGTCTCTTTTATTTAGTTAAAAATTAAAAATAGTCCCATCAAAATCATGTTGTTCTTTAAGAGAAAAATAGGATTTGAAAGAAAATGTATACCAGAAGATTTAATGTATTTTATAAGTAGGCTTAGTGTGACTTTTGCTTCAGTGAGAGAATATAAGGTCCCAGCTAGACTATCTATTTCTTATCTGACCTTGGGTAAATCTTTGAACCTTGCTGGGCCTTGTTTGTAAAAATGAGGGGAAAGGCTGGCTTGAGGATATCTTGAGGCCCTGTCTAGTGCTAATTCTGAGATCTTCCTGTTTTGGAAAATTAATGTTTGCAGGGTCCTGGTCAGTCTAAGTGTGTTCCGAAATAGCTTTCTTTGGCTTTTCTCTTTAATGAATATTCCAGTGGAAATGTCACAGGGAAGATCCTTGGTATCTGTTTAAAAGAACAAATCCATTTGGAGCAGGAGTGAAAGGAGAAGGACAGTTAGGCGAGTTGCTGACATTTATCTGGGCCTGTAAGAAAAATTCTCCTTCTTCCCTTAGGAAATCCAGCAGCTTTATGAGCGGTTTGGAAACTTCACTTGATTGTAGCGTTTTCCTTTGAACGTGTGTCCTTTGTATTTCTACATTCTCACAGGGCAAATGGAACTTGATCAGCCGCACGCGTTCCCCAGAAGAGGGCAGCCTCGAGCAGGAGACAAAGATGAGTAAGTCTGCTAGAAAGGGCGCCATTTCTCTCTCTTTCTGGGAAGACTTGATGTTGTGGAAATGATAACTAATAGAAATAATTTCCTCATACGGTTAATTACTATTAAGCCTTGTTAAAATAGCATTGTCTATCTTCTTAATATTAACCATTAGAAAAGAAAAATATCATGATTGTATTCTATTTTGATGTGCTCACCTCCTAGTTTATAGTTACTATAATTTTGAGATTCACTAGTCCCAGATGTCAATCTTGTGGCTTGTATGGGTTTCCTGAGGAAGAGCCTTCTCTGGAGGCTTTCTTGGAGGGGAAGGCGTGTGCTCTGCATTGCAGAAATGTTAAGATGCAGCCGAGGGGCTTTAAGAGAGAGCTCCCAGTGCATCCAGGACAGCAGAGAGGGCCCTGTGAGGAAGTTGAAAAGGCCTCTGGAAACCCAGCATCTTCACTACTGCTGCCCTTCCTGTGCTATTTTTGGAGTAAGGCACTGACTGCAGAAAATCTCACAATGTGTTGCCTGGAGAAGTGATGCATTAACATACTTCCAGTAAAACCGGAAGTTTAAAACTAAGATGAGCTGTTATTGACTGAGGGCAAAAACAGTTACCATGAGGGGAAGGAGGAGCTATAATGAAGCAGAGTTTTGGTTCAATGTAAAAAAGCCTTGGTTTTTGAGTAAATAACATATAAGTAATAAATCTCCTTAGTAAGTAATAGCTCCCGTTTCTTATAGTTATAAAGTACTTTAACATTCATTTTCTTATTTATGTTTGAATCTCCTCCTCCTTCCAAAAGGCAAGAAGACAGATATTATAAATGAAGGAGATAATGGATGAATGAATGAAGAAAGCATTTATTAAGCTCTTTCTGTGTGTATGCCAAGTGCTAGGGAGACAAGTAGAAAAATAAAGACAGTCCTTGCTCTCAAGGGGCTCTTATGGGAGATGGTGGGAGAGACAACAGCTGCAGGTGCAGTGGAAAGGAAGGTTCCATGGTCCTTAGGGACAGCAGCAAGGCAGATGGTCTGGCCTCTTATTTCATGTCATTTCCTCTGACAAAATGATGTGAGCTACTGATGTTAAACCAGTGTATAGAACCAGGGACTTCAGTGGCAAGAACTTTGTGTTGGGGGTCTCCAGTAGCCATGGCTGCAGCCCCTGGAGGAGCAGTGACCAGGCTGCATCTCTGTGCTTCCCAGGATGATGGCTGGAGGCCCTGGGCTGGAAGCATTGATATTCCCAAGGCTCTAGGGTTCGGGGTCCTGGGTTGACTATATCAGGATCTAAAGGGAGATGGTGGCCAAGAGGATTGTAATGGCTGGTTGTGCCTGGCACTACATCCTGTCTATCCTTCAGGATGCCTGCCTGCTTCATCTAGGTTGGCCTGCCCTGTGAGTGGCAGTCATTGGCAATTGGTGGGGAAGGCTGGACCTTTCTCCCCAGAAGCACTGGCTGAAAACAGGACTAGTAGTATGTAAGGTACTGTCATTGTTGCTGCCAAAATTATCTTTCTAGAAAAGGAAACCAAGGCTCAGTGACTGTTGGGGTTAAACAGGTAGCAGATGGTCCAGCCAGGATTTCTGTCCATGTCACAACCAGTGACCTATTATCCTTCTACTTATAGGTCATAAGATTTAAAACAGAAAGGACTGAAGAGTCCTGCAATATTATACCTCCACCCCATGCCAGCCTAGCACATAAGTAGCACTTAATAAACGCTTATTAACTGACTGATTGGATAGGGGGGACATCTCATCTGTGTTTTCACTAACCTGTGTTTTCCTTTCCAATCCTGGATATTTTATTTTATTCATTTAAAAACATGATTCTGGGCAGGGGTCCATAGGCTTCACAAGACTGTGCTGAGAGCTCCAGGACGCTCAGGAGGGTTAAGCATCCCGGCAGCAGAGCACAACACTGTTTTTTTAAAGGATTTTCTTCAATGAGGTGTCTCTCATCCATATATCAAAATTACCTGAGACTTCTTCAAAGACATAAACTTCAGACCTTTGAAAGCATGATTCTGAGAAGTGGTCCTGGGGTGTCACCAGATGCCCAAGCAGTCCAGGACACAAAAGGCTAAGAACTGCTGCATTAGACTGTAGTACAGAGATGGGGAAACGGGGCCAGACCACCTTAGGTTATACCTGCCAGGTTGGAATGACCAGATAGACAGTGGGACTGAGGTGGTGCATGATGTAAAACAGAGCGTTATTTTATGGAGCTGTGGTTTGAGAAATGGAATTCTGATTTCAAATAGAAGTTCATAGAGGGTCAGTGATGAGAGGAGGTTTGTTGCTCTCAATGATTCAAATAAATCCACAATGTGCTTCTTCTTAAGTATAGTTCCCACCTGTCTAGCACTCCATAGTTGACCAAAGACATGTAAATAGGTAGAAGGTGAAAACATTTCTATCCCCATTTTATACGTGAGAAAATGAAGGCCTGAGGGAGTTTAAGTGGCTTACAGCCACATGACCAGTAATGGCTCCATTGCAGAGATGCGTTCACTTATTTCATATAGATTTATCTAGCTAATCCAGTCAGAAGATAAACATGCTTTCTCCTGCGATATCTAGCAATGCAGCCTTTTTTAAAACTTGAATTTTCAGATTCTCAGATCTCTATGTCATCATAGAAAAGTAGAATGATTCCTGCTTTACTGTAAACAAAAAGCAGTCTTCCCGCTCTCTGAAGCTGTGCGTGTGCACTGAACGTGTGGTGTTTCTTTTTCCAGTAACAGTCTGAAGAGGTAGCAGGATTGTCAGAATTCTCTTAACACAGAAATCTGCGACTGTGCATTGGGTTTTTAAAATTGTCCAAAGGCAAGCCTTTAGTTTCACGCCAGTAAAGCACATTTATAAACAAACACCTACACACTAATATTTTATGTGATCTCCCATACACTTTATGTTCTGAGAGGAAGCTGTATAATACACTACCATTGGCATTTCCTGCGCTGGGGCCATCTGCTGCTGCAGAAAGCATCATCATAGTGACTGTGCATTTTCCATAAGCCTCATTTAAAAAACTGATTTCTGGGGGGGTCAGGGTGCTTCTGGAGTCTAAAAAAGGTGTATTTCACCAACGTCCAGAGATGGTATTTTTCTTTTTTTTTTCCTTTTTTTTAGTTAATTTATTTTGATTTGTCAACATTCACTTCCGTCAGCTTTTGAGTTTAAAATTTTTCTCCCCCTCCCTCCCTGCCATCTTCCCCAAGATGGCGCACAATCTGATGTCGGCTGTACATAAACATTCCTATTAAACATATTTTCACATTAGTGACGTTGTAAGGAAGAATTAGAACCAATAGGAGGAGCCACAAGAAAGAGAAAACAAAACAGAAGAAAAAAAAAGAGCAAATAGTGTGCTTTGATCTGCATTCAAACTCCATAGTTCTTTCTTTAGATGTTGGAAAGAGAGTATTTTTCTGACCAAAAAACACATAAACCACCTTAGTAGGAATATGTTTGTTATGTAATACACTTATGGCAAATACGTAATCACAGCCAAGATTTATCTCGGTTTTGTACTTTAACAGACAAAATGTGAAGAGTTATAATAGTTATGTTGTAAAGATCCCTTCAGGAAGGAGGTTGACCGAGAGGCAGAACAGAGGGGCGGTGCTGTGGTGAGAGGGCCACGCAGTGAGGCTGGAAATCCCACATGTGCCCTCACTAACATTTCAGATCACAAAGTCATACCTCAAAAAGGGACACCTTCTTGCGCCCTGGGGTGCTCAGAAGTGTTTTAAAAGGTACGGGTACTCAATCTTTTGTGTCTCTGAAAAAGGTTGATGCTTCTGCTGCATCACCAGAAAATGTCACTTTCAGTCTATCCACAGGCATTAATCACATGCCTCCTGTGTGCCAGGCTTTTCCAAGCCCTCTTCCTTCCAGTGCCTTCCCTGTGTCGGGTAGGTACTTCCTTCTTATTCTCTCTGTAGCTTGCGTGCACACAGGTGTTTGCTTGTTGTCGCCTTCATTAGATGGAGCTGAAGCTTGGGACAAATGCGGGGTTGAGGTGCAGGACGTGTGGGGTGAAGGAGCCGAGAAGCAGCGCCCATGCCAGGGGGCTTCCGTTGCCCTCATGGTGCCAGGAGTCAGGAGCCAGAAGCGGACTCCTGACTGTGATTCGGAAGTTCCCCAGAAGCCGCTGGGGTCTTGAAGTTTTTAATGAAATCTCTCCAGATATCTCAGGAACAGCCATCAGCCATAAATCTGGCTGGTACGCACTCACACAACGGTGTGTGGTGACCTTGGTGCGTACAGGCTGAGTAGATAGGCCCCCAGGACAATTCAGAAAGGCATTCTCTGCGGGCCTGATGCCAGCGTTCTGGACTCTCGGACCCCGGACCCTCTGGCTCGGGCACCTGAGGCCTCTGTTGAGCAACGGAGGCTTTAGGTGACCTGAGGTGCAGTGGCAGTGGTAGGGCTGTGTTAGAGGATCCACAGAAGATTGATGGGTATCAGCATGGAGGCATGGACGTCAGAGGAATGAGGACAGGCTGGCCTTCACCTGTCCAACTGAGCAAGACAGAGGGAGGGCAAGAAGGCGTGTCTATGAGAAGATGGCCGGCGAGGGCACCTTCACTGCTGAGCCAGTGTGCCGCAGTGGGCAGCCAAGAAAGGCCAACACAAGTGCCCGCACTTGACGAGCTTCCATTCTAATGGGGGAGGCCACGTGCCAAGAACTGAACTGAGCAGTGGAGGCATCTGAGGTCACGGGCAGGACGAAGAACAGTCAGGGGCTTATCAGATAAAGAAAGTTTGGAGTTCATGAGCAGCCACGGGTGAGGGCGAGACCCAGGCATGGCAGTGTCTGTGCGTAGCAGAGACAGAGGGGAGGAGTAAGCCAGGGAACTGAGTAGTTAGGGGACTGGGAAGTGTCACTGAGATGAGGGGAGGAAGGAGGCAATGTTCTGGGGTCGGTAGAGGAAAGGGAATCGTAAGCATTTCTATAGTGATAACTGTGTGCCAGGCGCTGCACTAATAAGTGTTTTACAGATATCTCTTTAGATCGTCTCAGCAACCTGCGATGTGTCTTCATTATCCCCATTTTACAGTTAGGGAAACTGAGGCAACCATGCTTCAGTGATTTGCCCAGGATCACATAGCTAGTAAGTGTCTGAGGGTGGATTTGCACTCAAGCCTTCCTCACTGCAGGCCCAGTGCTCTCCGCACTGTGCCACCAGCTGCAGTTGGTGGAGGACAAACTACCGGCATCTTAACTAGGTCCTACAAAAAGGAGGGGTGCTGAGGAGTAAAGAAACCCTAGGAGGCTCCATCTAATGTCAGTCCTCAAGAGGAAGGGTTATTAAAAGCTGTAAATACGACTTAAGTATATGATCGTGCTCCGTGTGATTTATGTACTTCTTTCTCTTTTCTAGCACCATGATATTACTCTATAAAATTGACAACTCCTTAGAAAAATTCACAGAAACGTGGAAAAGTTTAAAGCATTTACAGGTTTGTCTATTTATTAGTTATCATTTTCTCATATTTTAATTTGATCATGATCCTAGGAGCAAAAAAAAATTTCCTGCATGTTATCAAAAAAAGAGAACTAAATCTAGCAGAGAGTTTTAGGAAGAAGAGTTCAGCCCATTGCTTACATTTCATTCCATTTCATAATGACAACTTTATGGTTTTTTTCACTTGATTTTTCAACAATTCTGTGGAACTTACCATTTTTGTTTCCTGGGGTTTTCCCCCCCATAAAATTGACTTTTTGAAAACTTAAGTGAAATTCGAGGACATTTCACTAGTTGTAGATTTTCTGATCTTTCCTTCTCCTGAGCTCACATAATAAGTAGTTTGTCCTTCTTTTATTCATTGATAATGATGTTTTCCAGTAGAGTTACTTGTATGCATCTTGTATTAGCAGTGTGCAGTGCTTTCTAAAGCAGCTCTGTGGTCCTGTCAGTGCTGTGAGCTTCAGGGAGGCCTGCCTCCCCCATAGCAGAGGCCCTTTATGGCTGGTCAGTGAATTCCCCAGAAGCATGGCTGCGCTTGGGACGTCATCGGCCCTTTGGGCACTTCCTTCCTCAACAACGAAGAGCTTCCAATTGCAAAGGAAGAAAACGGCAACGGGATTTTTTGTTTGGCCAGGCAGAACATTGTGTAAAATGTCCAGCTGATGTGATGAGGATGAGCAGGCTTAACGCAGAATTTTAACTTCCCCCCCTTTGTTTCAGGCCCTGTTGGCCCAGCCAGAGCTGGAAAATCTCATCGGTGTTTCCTGTACGTCATCGGATTTGAGAAGCCAAGTGCAGAAGACCAGAGAACTGAGTAATGATCATTGGGGAGTTTTCATGAGCAGAAGTGGCATAGATACACTTTCCTAAGCTTTGCAATTTGTGCAAAAGAAGGTGGTCCTTCTATAGTTAGCCATTTGGGGAAGGATTTAATATTTTCTAGTCTGCTAAAATTCTTAAATACATCAAATGTGGTTGATGCCACTACTGTAATCCTCAATAGTGGCAGGAATACTGTGACTCCAGGTAAAATGAGAGAGAGCCACTTAGCTGCTGTGGCATTTCCAAAGAGTGAAACTGAAAAACTTGCCATAGGTTTTTATATATAGTGAAGGCCATTTCTTGTGTGGTGGGTGCTCACTAAAGTGCTTGGAAAGAGCTCTAGATGACATGCCCTTGATGCTGTCCAGCCTCCTGCCTTTGTTTCATGGAAGATCTGGGAACCTCAGTTTTCCTGTCTGAGAAATTGGGAAAGTGACACCCATCTCACAGGTCATTCTGAGGATCAAGGGAGATAACGAATGGAAAACAAATTGCATACCCTAAGGTGCTTAGTAGGTTAATATCATCATCCTGTGCATTGGGTTCCATGAAAGAATTTCAGTGCTGGTGATATTTTCCATCTGAAATATCACATGTGCACTTATTAGAAATATTTATTTCATACAAAGTTTTTCAGTATGCAGATAGTCTTAATTTCCTCTTTTTATGCCAAAGGCTTCCCAGCTCCTCTTCATCCGAGGAGGATTCCAAGACCACCAATCCTCCAGACCATGTCTCCTGTGTCTGGCCTTCTCCCAAGCCCCAGAGGTCCCAGGCCTAACTTAGTTTAGGAAACCCTGAAGGAATGTATATTAAGGTTACGTGTTTTATGCCTGTAGTTCTGTGTGATTTCTCTTTCTTTTCCTGAAAAAGCTGCTCTTTATGTATAGGGTTACCTGAGAGCTAGTGGATGTTAACTTTGAAAGATGATTTTTTTATTTTTCAGTGATGAAAGTAAGAAAACAGGAACAGCTGAAAAAGGAAACAGGAAAACAATTCCCAAGAGGTAAGGGTGTTTGCTGTCCTTTCCCGTGTATGGTAGCGCCTCCAATCCATTTATTCAGCGGGGAGTCCTTTGGAGCCATGTGTTCTGGGAAAGGCTGTGAACTTCATGTGAGAAGCTGGAGAGATGCTGAGGCCTGAAACCTCCCTCTCGGGCAACACTCTTACATCATTTGAACCCGACTTTGAGTTTGTGGCGTTAATTGGGCCTTTCTGTCACCCAGCGGACAGATAATCAGAGCCACCAGGTCGTCACCCACAAAGTCCAGGAAGGTCGCCTGTAACCAGTGTTGGGGAGACTTAGAAATCATTAACGCCATTCTGTTGGCCGAGCACTCTCGCCGACGAACATTTCCCACTCTGAGACACAAAGTTGAGTTTTCTCCGCTTGTGTCTGTCAGTGGTGTTTTCTTGGCTTTATTCTTTGTGGTTTAATGTCTTTGATGAAGTTAGCTTGAGCCTGTTTGCTGGTGTGTTAAGTGTGGGTAGTCCTTACTTAAACTTAGGGGTTTCTTTCCTTGAGACAGAGCCTTGCTGTTTGTTTATTTGTCAGCATGCCGGCCTTTGAGCCAGGAAGTCCTGGGTTCAGATCCTGCCTGCTTCTTGCCCATTTTGTGACAGGGGGCGAGTTACTTAACTCCCCTGAGGACCTGTTTTAATCCTCCAGGTTGTTGATTACCATCTACATCTGCATTTTCACACGTATAAATAACTTCCCCTCCCCCTCTTCCACCCCTAAAACATTATGGAGATCTGGTGATGTGAGTTGTGATTAAAAACTTCTCAGCATGGAGTCATTGTATGCCACATGATGCCTGAAGCTGACAACAAGCAAAGAAAAGCTGTATCCAGATACCGCTCTAGAGGCCTCCCCGTGGGCTTCTGAGAGGAAGCTTCTCCTTTTCCCCACATTGATGTCTGCAGCCTCTCAATTTTCAGATATTTTTTGAAAATCAGTGCCCCCAAAGAGGTGGGTTAAAGCTTGTTTTTCCCGTCTCTGAGCTAATACAGTTAAATACTTTTCATGACTCTCTGCCTTGTTCTCAGGTGGTGCCCTAGTCAGAGGCGACACAAGCCGTCTCTGCCTTTCTGAGCTGACTGCTTCTTTTGCCCAGCTTTCTGTATTGTTGGTAGTGAAGGAGTAGCAGGTCTGCCGTTTCGGTTGTTGCCTACCTCTGCTGTCAGTGTCAGACGTCAGCAGATCTGAGGAAGGGAAATGTAGGCGAGGTTTCTTTTAAGTGAGTTTAACCCCAGATTCAGAAAGGATCAGCTTTGGCTTAATCTCATGTTGGCACTTACTTCCAACTTTTTCATTTTTTACATTTTCCTTTGATATGTCTTTTCTCTACTATTCCATTAAAGATTTCAAGAGTTAACATGGGGAAATAGCAGCTAATTTTTTGGATTCCAGGAATTTTGATAGTCCTGGGAATTATAAAAATTAGCCTTAGCAAGATATATTGGGTTTTGCCATTTAACATAATTGTGAAGCCCCAAATAAATCCATGATTATTTTCACTGTTCGAACATTATCCAACGAGGGTAGAATTTTCATGGGCTTTTGGAGGGCACTTGTACAATATTTATGGAATCAGCAGCATCAGGAGAATTCCTGCCCCTGGCCCTCGACTTGAGGATTTTATGTCCATTTCATTACTGATCTTATTTTGCTCAGTGGGAGTCGCATTTCTCATATCATCAATAAGAAGATTGTTTCGGATAAGTAGATACTTCCCAGTTCATACGAATGAAGTGTGTACATTGGCTAGAGAGAATGTGAATCTTCTTACCGGCGTGAAGAAATACAATCAAATGAATTCAATTTTGTGAGAATTGGGGATGCGTGTGAAGTGCCCAGAATAGAAGGGATTTCATTTCCAAATAGAAACTTGCTTCAAAGAAGGGTCCTTTCTTTGTTTTCATAAAGTACAGTAGGAAGTACTCCTGACTCCATGTTCCCCAAGAATGTTAACTTTGTGGCCATTTGGCAAACAGTGGAATGAAAGGTTCTTTGACTGTTGGATTTGGATGTGGATTTTCATAATTATTTTTAATTAGTTATGCTGAAGATTTAAAACCCAGGCCCATTCTGTGGGTTGAGACAGATGGAATGTCACATTATCATCACATGGTAAGGCATGAAATTTATTTACTTTACATAAACAGCCTCTACTTAAAACAACTTGATACAAAACATTCCTTAGTCAATGGGCAGCATTCTTCAGCATCTGGCGTATTCAGTTTTTGTTAGGGACATAAAAAATAGCTTCATTGTTTGTCCATGACTAGCACTTAGAGTAAACAAAATGTTTTTGATTAGAGTGTAAGCAGACTGCACAGTATTTGCCAAGAGATGAAATCTAGACCATGAGCTTCAGTCCAAAACACATTTCATCTGTTCTGAGAAGATATGTGTAGGTTAGGTTATGCATATTTTAAATGAAAATGTGAGGCTGAACTTTGTGTGCTGATAGCAAACAGTATTCCAAAAAAGAAAGAAAGAAAGAAAATCCAACTGTTTCAGCTGTTTACTATAGAAAATATTTCAGAATTTCTAGGTCTAGGCTTGACAAAAATTTGTCTGAACCAGAATGTCTATGTTTTCACAGTCTGCTGTGTTCTTTTTATGTTGCAAAGGGAGGCTTGGTGGAAGGATTTTTAAATGACCAAATTCTTCCATTATTCTCAGACGATATTGTAGATTGAGTATTGCCTTTTCTTTCCACCACCCACTAGAGTAGGGCTTTTTTCCCTTTAACTTAAAAATGTGTGACTGTCTCTCCCACTCAGAGTCTTCCTTGGGGGAAAAAAATTCAGCCTCTAAGCTGCACACTTTTATTTCCATAAGATGATTCTTTGTTTCTTTTTTATGTGTACATTAACCTACAATCTTTTTCCAAAGATGTGCTTCAGTTGAAAAAAGCCTTGTTTTGAAGTTTTAAAGATGAATTTTTGGGGAATAAAAACAAAAAAAGATCCTGCTCTAATGCCCTTACATTCCATGTTCTTGGAGAAGAGAAATGAAAATCTTTTTTTCCTGACCCTTCAGTCCATCTGCTGGCCCCGGCCAGAGCCCCAGAGGGACGACTGGCAGGCTTCTGATTTTGGTACTTGGCTTACCAATGTTCTTGTAACAGTTGTACAGATTATTTGAAAAATGACTAATTTGCCCACGGGTTTAATGAAATAACTGGTCCGTTAATATTCAGCGGCTACTCGGTAATTTCTACCATATTCAGTTTCTTGCTCTAAAAGGAACATCATTTGATCATTTAATAATGAGTAAATAATTCTGAGAAGTATTGTCGGGTTGGACTCACTTAGCAACAATTATGTGTAGGAGAGGCCTAAACAAAGTGCTCCGCAGACATTGCAGCTATCCAGGTGCTCGGGATGTGCTGATGACAACAAAATGAAAAAGAAAGACCGTAATAATTCTGACTGGTTTTCTCTGCAGAAGGTATTGATTATTTGTGTGTGGTGAGAGATTTGGAAAATTCAATTAAAGGGCTTGTGCAAAGCTTTCATAAATTCTCCTTCTCCAGCGTGTACACAGACATTGGTGCGTATTAAATCAATGCAGCACTTCACAATATATTTTCTTTGAAACATAAAAATAAATAACATTTAAACAGTTCTGCTTACTACAGAAACAAATTTGATTCTGTGAGAAGCATTTCGTCATGTGCTATCACTGACTCGCACACATTTGCCAGCTCTAACAAATTTTACCGACATTTTCTCCAGAGACATATCTCAGATACTATGAATGTTTAAATGAGCAGATGGGCAAGAAGGGATGTCAGCAATATAAAAATTGATCAGTTAAAAGATAAAAGCATAAGTAAAGAGATTTGTATGGTAGTCTTAATAGGTTTTATTAAATAAAAATACTATAAAAAGACAGTAATGAATAGACTGAAGGCTTTAACTGTGCTTGAGGTGGAGAAAATTATTCTGCTACATTTAGGAGAAGATTGGTTTTATATCACTCGACAGGTGACCATTTTTTTCCCCTGTTTTAGCTCTGTAAATGTTACAGAGTACTAGAACTTGTCCTCTCTCTCTCCTCCCCTTCCTCCCCCCCACCAAAAAAAAAAAAAAGAAAACTTTAAAAGGTTAGACAAGTTCTGGTGGAATTGGTGGTTTACATATCTGAAAGGTACATAATTAAACTGGTGGGTTGCATAGTAATTCATAGTAGGAAGGGGAATGGAGAAGACATTGGATTGATTTCAGGCCTCACACTGAAGAAAAAAAAATTGTTTTTATTCAAATCATAAGGGAGGGAGAACAATCCAGAGGAAAATGAGAATTTTCACACGAATTACTTTGATTAAATCCAGCCACGGTGTAGTAGGAAGTAAAGACACAGCTCTGAGAGTGGCTGGGTTGTTGTCATCATTGAGCCTAGTTTTCGGGAGGTGTCCTGGTTCACCGTAATTAAAACTGCTAAACAGCTATAAGAGGAACGTTTTGCGGTGGTTATGCAGAACCGTTTTTAGCTAGCCATCAATGCCATTACAGAGTTCAGTCCAGGCATGGCGTCCCCATGCCGCGTCAGTCACTCCAAGGTTTAATGAGAAAGTAAGCCGAGGCAGGATTTATGAAATCTTTCTTAAGGAGGCTAAATCGGCCCAAAAGTTGTTTCTGAACTCTACCTAAAAGGGCGTGTTTTCTCATTTCAAGTGTGGAATGAAATCTAACCCCCAAGAAGTGAAGGACTGATCATAACATTGACTTTTATTATATTTTTAAGTGATTATGGAACAGCTACATAACAGAAGCTGCCTTAGGCAGTAGGGTTCTGGTATATAATCTAAAATGTAAACAACCCATTTCAATTGGTCTTTTGTATTTAAAACAACATCATGAGCTAAAAAAAAAAAAGTACGAGTTTGCAAAAATTCTCCCCAGCACTTCCTTTCTTTGCCAGTATAAAAATAATTTATTTCATTTCAAGGAGCATCTGTATATGCCAGCAGCTTACGACCTTAATGCTGCTGATTGCATTTAAGGTCCTCTCCTCGGAGGTACTTTAGGAACTGGTCTAATATTAGCTTCCTGGTCTCTGATGCTTTCCTACTGTAGGCCTGCTATTGTCCTTAAGTGTAAAATAATGTTCATGCCTGTCCTCCTTATTTCATTAACTCTCTGGAAGTGTAAGTGTGGACACCGAAGGCGGGGCTGGACCACTCAGAACAATTCACAGAATCCTCCTGGCCTTGCTGGGTCTGGAAGCCCATCAAAGTGGGTGCTTCGGGCAGCTAAAGGCCCAGTGGATAGAGCACCGGCCCTGGATTCAGGAGGACCCGAGTTCAAATCCGGCCTCAGACACACAACACTAGTGATATGACCCTGGGCAAGTCACTACCATATCCTAAAAACAACAACAAAAACAAAAACGAACAAACAAAAAAATACTTGTTAAACAAGTAGTAGAGTCAGAATTTGGACCTAGATATATACTGACACCAAAGTGGGTGCTTCTTTCTTTCTGTGGACATCCCACCTATCCAGGCCTTCCCATGCCCTGGGAGTCTTGTCCTTGTCCTCCAGGAATGATCCCGTCAGGGTGCAGGTACCAGTCTGTGCTTGAGGCTGTTTGTCTTGCATTCTGCAGTAGGCCTCCCTTCCTGGACACAATCATTAGGTTTCATGACAGGCCTCTCCCCATTGCCCTGGGAGTCACCTATATTTGTCCTCACTGGACATAGTGATATTCTGTGATTCACTGCCCTGGAGCAGTACCAGGAGAACCCCAGGGTTTAAAAGACGGCTTTTTATTTCAAGGAGCAGTCTGAGATCATTGTCAGTGCTGCACAATTTCCCTAAAGCGCCCACCCTGCTTCGTCCTTCCTGTTCAGCTCAGGGCCAGCCTGGTGTCTTTCTGCAGTGTCTGCTCCAGGAGGGGCGCTGCTGAACCGACTCATTGCGCCGTCCAGGATCAGAGTTTGGAAGTGACCCTGGCAGCCATCTGCACCAGCCCAGACTCACCAAGAGTCCTTGCTTCGTTGCCACAAGCGTCTGGCCGCTGTTTGGTGAGCTCCCAGGAGAGCCTTGGCCCCTCCAGCTGGAGATGGTTTTTATTAGGAAGGAGGCAGCATGGTGTAGTAGATGGAGAGCCAGGAAGACCTGGGTTCAAATCCTGTCTCTGGCATGACGGCCGGACTGCCCTGGGTAAGGACCTTAGCCGCTGGTGCCCTGGCACCTGCTCTGAAGCCCTTAGGCTGTGGAGTTCCCTTCTCTGGAGCCAGTGCCCATCCCTTCCCTGGTCCTTAGATCAAACCCGACTTGACCACTCTTTGTACTCCTCCCACTGCTTCTAGTTCTTTCCCATAGCCAAAGGGCACGGCTCATCCTGCTTCCATTTGATACTTTCTCAAAACTGAAAGCTCAGACATATCTTCCCCCAGGCTTCTCCAAGTTCTTCACTCCTGCGGCATTCACTCTGCTCTGGACACTGGCCATGGTCCTGGTTTAGCTCTGTAAACGTTATAGAGGACTAGAACTCGTCCTCCCTCTGTCCTCCCCCCCCACCATGCACTGAACCCAGCCCCATGTTCCACCAGAGGCCCTCAGTGGTCATCGGCGGTGAGCAGGGCCTTTCCCTTCCTGCCTGCTTCTGGCTGTCTTCATCCGTCCCTCCCTCTCCATCCAAGCTTTCGGCCACCGCCCGTGCCCCGCATTCCTGGGATGCCCCCTCTTCACTTCTGCGATCTGTTATCCTTCAGAGTCAGCTCAGGTGACCCCTCCTGCATCAAACTGTCCCGATTCCCCCCCCAATATGACATTGTCCTTATTTTTGTACTTGACCTAGACTTGGGGGCGCTTGTCCCGATGACGTCCGTATTTTTGTGCTTTACCTAGACTTGGGGGCACTTGTCCCGATGACATTGTCCATATTTTTGTGCTTTACCTAGACTTGGGGGCGCTTGTCCCGATTCCCCCCCCATATGACATTGTCCTTATTTTTGTACTTTACTTAGACTTGGGGGCGCTTGTCCTTTCTTCTCTTAAGTTGGAAATTCACAAGAATGTCTCCTTACCCCATCTTTGTGCCGTGTGCACCGGGCACACAGTAGGCAATTAATAAATGCTGCTTTGATTCTCTGATTGACTGATTAATGGGCCAGCCTGGCTAATCACCAGAGTGGTGATGGGGGGCTGGGGGGAGGGCTGGAATTTGTGGTTGTGGACGTTCCCAAGGAAAGTCGTCTTCTCATTTATAGAAGAAAGTGGGCAGGGTTTAGGTAAACCCTCCCAGACCTGCTCAGGTGAGTTACAACCAACCAATTGCATGTTTCCAGAAACAAGGGTCCTGCTAGTAACTGGTTTCTGCCTCCCTCCTGGCTCCCCCTTTGGCTTCCTCCAAGTCCCAGCTAAAGTCCTGCCTCCTCCAGGAAGCCTGTCCTGATTGCTCTCCAATTGATCCTGTTTGTAGGGTGTTTGCGTAGACAGTTGTTGGCCTGCTGTCTCTCCCATTTCACTGGGAGCTCCGCCTTAAGGCAAGGATTATCCCCAGCACTTAGCACAGTGCTTGGAACTTAGTAGGTACTTAATAAATGTTTATTTATTTTAATTGTAATTTGATTTAACTGGGAATAATTACTTCTAGTTTTTGATCACTTAAACTTTTTTCCCCCCACAGATTTTGGTCATCTCAACAGCTATGAATTCCTCAAATCCATTATTAACTGAGGTAACATTTTGCTTTTGTGGCTAAATACTACAAAATTTCCTTGGTTTTGCTTTAAATGGGGAAACTGCTTATATCACTTATTTTTATTTTCTGTTAGAAAATAGAAAATATAGGTATTGTCCTTTAGTTGAGCTAGTGCTGTTGTGTTGAGTTTTATGTAAGAAATTATGGTAGGAGCAAGTGTCCGGCAGAGACGGAAAGAACATCCTTGAGAATTACCAACCGGTTCAGAGATGGCATCTTTCTCACACGTAATTATAAAGGGCACTTGAATCGTAACGACGTCTGCGTTGTGAGCAGCTGCCCATGTGCCAGGTCACATGTTGGGTGTGAGCTCTTGATCAAGCTGGCATCAGAAACAGCAAGGGGATTAAGCAAAGCCTTCGATCATCCAATGCCTTATACTTGTTAGTGGTAGCTCAGCTCCCCACAGCAATTCACTCGGCTTCAGGCATGTAATTTAGTTTTCTGACTTTCTTTTGCTCTGCTCTGAATGGTGCTTTATTCTTACCTAAGGCTGCCAGACCATAAAGCCTATGCTAAGGCGTAGGTGGTATCACCTCTTAGACTGAGACAATGATGGGAGGGGCAAGTTTGAGCTCGGCCTACCACAGACCTGTTTTGGCCTCCCCAAAGGGATGGCATTACAATACAATCTTGAAGCAAAATTCAATAACACTTGCTAATGTGGTATTGAAATATCTGCCTCTAAATAGCAAGATTAATGTCACTTAAAATGTAAGTTACAGGAAATGGAAATTTTCTTAGAAAGAAATGTCTGTGACTTCCATGTTGAACTGGGTTCTTACCCTTTTTTCTGTGTATGTAGCTTGGTGGTATATATGGACACCTTCTGAGAACACTGTCTTTAAATACACGAAATACAATCTATAGAGTTACAAACAAAAACAGTTACATTAAAATAGATATTAAAATGTTTTTTTAAAAAATTCCATGGGTGCTAGGTAAAGAACCCACATCTCCCTGAGGCCAGTGTCCTCTCCCTTAACACCATGCTGCATCACTTGTCTTAATGTGCTAGGAAATTCACATGGAATTAAGTTGGAATCTTCCTCTTCAGTCCCGCTCCAGTGCCTCCCAGAACCAGAAATGAGGCTTACAACATCCCTAACTGGGCTCACCCACTAGTCATTTGAGGCAGCCCCTTCCATTTTCAGTCAGCGCTAATGATCTGGAAATCGTTCCTTACACTGCACCTAGGGCTGCCTCTGTGGCTTTTACCCCCACCATGTGGCACCAGACTTGCCCAGTTCTTCTTCCTCCGGACAGCCCTTCAGGTACTTGGGGATTCCTTTGGCTTCCCTTCTGCAGGCCAGTGATGGACATCTCCCTCGGGTGTTCCTTATGTGACATGGTCCCAGGCTCCCTGCCCGTCCATCCTAAAATAACCCTGTGCTCCCGACATGAGCAAGGCAGGGCTTCCTTGGAACTGTGATCTTCATTTGTGGCACAACTTTTGTGAGGCAGCCCAAGAACGCATTAACTTTTTGACTGATCTTAAAATTGGGGTCTGCTCATGCCCCAAATCCTTTTCATGCAAACTGCCATCATGCCATGCTTCCTCCCATCTTTGTCAGTACTTTGCTGAAGTCTATGCAAATAGAGTCTACGTGACCTGTTCTTGATGAAACCATGAAACACACTGGGTTTACCGTGTTGCATTCAGGTTACCAGCCCCAGATGAGCTACCTACCAGGATCCAGAGAGGCCTGCTGGATCTACCGTTATAGGTCTTGGAACAATGAAGAATATGGGAAAAGCCAAATCAGAAAGCATTTATTACTTCCTGCTATGTGTCCATCACTGTGCTAAGTGTGAGAGATGCAAAGAAAGGCAGACAGAGAGCTTATAGTCTCACGGGAGGAGACGACATGCAAATGCTAGCCCCGATAAGAAGACGCTAGCATGAAGAGAAATTGGGAGAAGCTTCTTGTAGAAGGTGGGGTTTTAACTGGGACTTGAAGCCAGGAAGGGCCAACAGCTAGGGATGAGGAGGGGGAGCATTCCAGGCATGGTGCCAGGCAGAGAGGTCAGTCACTGGGGAAGCCGTAGTGGAGGGTATATATAAGGTATAAGAAAACAGAAAAGGTTAGGAAGGCATTTAAAGCCAAATAGACTTCATGTTTGATCCTGGAGGCAGTAGGGAGGCCCTCAGACAGAACTAAGGACTATATTCCAGCACACAACCTCAGTTCTGTGACCAAATTCTATAAGTGTGGCTTGTGAATGAATACATAGAAAGGAACTGGTGATCAGCAAAGTGCAAGATGGCTTCCCTAAAGTCATATCATGTTAGACTGTTGATTTTTATTTTTTTAAAAACAATCTTAACCCGCATGACATAAAACCCATCTGTGATTTTATTTCATGTTTTGAGAACCTGACACCCTTGTCAGTAGCAGGGAAATTAGCAAAGAGCAGAGGGGGGGGGTCAGGAGGAAAGATGCTCAGTTTCGAATGTCTATAGGATATCAACTCCAATTGGCCATTGGAGATGAGAGACTAGAGATTAGGGCTGGATAAGGAGATCAGAGAATCATCAGCATAGAGATGATGATTGAATCCATGGGGGTTGATGAGATTACCATGTGAAATAGTATAGATGGAAAAAAAAAAGAGGGTCCAGAAAGAAGGTCCGGCAAAGGAGACTGAGAAGGAGCACTAAGATATGTGGTGGTGAGATAGAGTGGTGGCACAAAATTCTAGAGAGAAGAATTATCGAGAAGAGGGTGACTGACAGTGTCAGAAGGCGCAGAGAGGTCAAGGAGAACGAAGGTTGAGAAAAGGCTATCAGACTTGGCGATTAAAAGATCACTGGTAACTTTGGAGAAAGGATAATGAGGTAAGAAGCCAGACTGAAGGGACAGGCAGTGGAGGAAGTACCTAGTGCAGAAAACGTTCTCTAGGGTTTAGTCACAAAAGAGGAGCAGTATGGGATGGATGAGGGAACAAATGAGAGTTGTTTTGTGTTTTAAGGATGTGAGCAGCCAGCAGGCAGAGAAACTGAAGGCAATTGAGGGGAGTGAGGAAAGGGGCAGTGTCCTGGAAGAGATGGGAGGGGTCAGCCTAGGTAAGGAAGCAGGTCAGGTCTTCACTGGGGACAGAGTGAAGAAGAACATGCTGACAGATGAACAGATGAATCCTTCTTGATGAACAGCCTCAGCTATTGGGGGGGCACTTGGGGTTAAGTGACTTGCCCAGGGTCACATAGCTAATAAGCGTCCAGTGTTTAGTCTGCGGCCGGATTTGAACTCAGGTCCTCCTGACTCCAGCGCCAGTGCTCTATCCACAGCACCACCTAGCTGCCCCAGCAGCCTCCATTTTTTCAGTAAAATGTGGAACGAGGTTGTCAGCTGAGAGGTTGGGAGGGGAGAGGTAACGCTGGGAAGTTTTAGGAGGGACTAAAAGGTCTGGAAGAGCTGGTGTGAGTGGAAGAGAAACTTGATCAGGGAAGTGTAAAAAGATGCATTGTAGTAATGAGGGCTCAGTTGAGGTTCTGTAAGAATTCTGTAGTGGATCTTGTCAATCCAGTTTCATGATTTTTGTCCAGCTACGACAGCAGCACATGTGTAAGAGTGAAGGTAGCAGATGGTGGGGGGGATTCAGTAGCTGGACAAGGTCAGTGATACGGAGTCAAGATGAAAACAGTACATACTTGAACTGGTTCACCAGAGTAAAGATGGGGAAAGGCAGAGTGGACCTAGTGCAGGGGCGATGGCCTGGGAGAGAACTAAGGGGCCGAAGGATTGGAGGTCATCATGTGGATTGATAACGGGATGCAAGGCAGAAGGAGAGATAAGATGCCAGGGGATTGTGCTCAGATAAGGGCATTTCAGAGTTCATGAAGGTGGAACACTTGTGAGTGATGGCAGCATCAAGGGCGTATGACCCATCTTATGTGTGTGGCCAGGGTTGGGTGAAGTAGGTCTGTGAGGTCACAGTGTTGGAGAGAATATCAGTATGTATGTGGAAGCCCCATCACATGAGTGAAGGAGTTGGGGAGAAAAGACAGTGAGGCAGGCACTGAACTCGCTTCTGAAAGAAGGGGGTGTCCTGAAGGTCAGTGGGTAACAGCTACCAGAATTTTGATTACACGGTCCATGGGATTGAATGAACCTCAAAGAGAGGTTATCGAGTGAAGGGAAATCCTAACATTCACTATTAGTGAACCTGTCAACACAATGCATGAAGCCAAAATGGCGGGATGGTTCTCATTGACAGCAAATTTCTTGATCTCTGCTCCTTAGCAAGCAGCTTCTTTTCCTCATTTGGGTGGGCTGCTGAGGTGCTTGGATTTTGTGTGTTCTGCCCACACCCTGCCTGGTCCTTCCTGTGTGTTCCTAGCTGCACCGGATCGTGTGGCCAGTTTTCACGCCAGCCCATTGAGGCATGGGACCATCTTGCTTCTGCTCCTTTGCAAGGAACCTCTTGATGCTGAAGGTCTCATGGACATAGCCCAGACATGGCCGGAGCTGTGGTGTCACAGAGGGAGCTAGTGATGTGATGCCTTTTGTTGCCACGTCCTGTTGATTTCTATGTGCTTTTCTCCTCTACCCAGGGAGCTTTAAAAAGTGCAACAAAGTCAAGGCATGAAGGTGGAGAAGTCCATTTTCTCCCCTTTTTCTGTGGGGCCAGTCTTGGTCATCACAATTACCATGATTAATTTTTATTACTTCTATTTAGCTTATGGCTCTGTTCCAGTTTTGCTCACTTCACTTACCTCCACAATCAAATGTAAATTCCTGCCTTTGGCTTTTAGAGCCCCTCCTAACCTGTCCTCTTGTTCTTCCCAGTTGTCTTACCCCTCACTCTCCCCCATCTACCCTGCAGTCCAGTGGCACCGGCCTCTTAGCCGTTCCTCAAACAAGACCCTCTGTTTCTTGATTCCAGGCCTTCCCACTGGTCATCCCCCATGCCCGGAACACTCTCCCTCCTCATCTCTACCTCCTGGCTTTTCCCTCAAGCGTCAGCAAGAATCCCACCTTCTGCCAGAAGCCTTTCCCGGTCCTCTTTAATCTCAGTGCCTTCCTTTTGGGACCACCCCCAGCTTTTCTCCTCAATACCTTGTTTGTCCAGATTGGTGGGGATGTTGTCTCCCCCATTAGATTCCTCAAGGGCCCTTCTTTCTGTCCCTGGTGGTCAGCACAGTACCTAGCACCTCACCGGGCTTACCGAATGCTGGTTGACTACCTTTCCTCTGCACTGCTTTATGTAAGTGTGCCGAGGTTTCTCTGCATGGTTCAGATTCAGCATTCCTTATGCCATTCCCTTCCTGCATCACAGCTCCTTTAGCTATTCCTCAATTGGGGGTCCCTACTTTGTTTCCAGTTCTTTGCAACCACAAAAAGTGCTGCACTGAGTATTTTGGTACATATAGGCCTCTTCTCCTGTCTTTGACCTCTGTGGGGCATATGCCTGGTGGCAGGATCTCCAGGTCAAGAACTGCAGACGCTTCAGGCGCTGTTGGTCACCATCACTTCAGAGTGCTTTCCAGAATGCTTCCCTTTTGCCTTTGATAGTCTGACATGAACTTCAGCATTCTTTTGCTTTGCATTTTTCTTATTGGTAATCTGGAGCAGTCTTACACATGGTTAATAGTTTGCCATCCTTCTGAGAACAGTTTGTTCTCTTTCGACCACATTCCCTCATCCCATCTCTTCTGCTCAGGGTCACCTTTAGTCTCTGGGCTCCATCCACAAGAAGCCCTCTCACCATCAGGAGTCCCTAGTGGGACGCAGTGACTTGGATAAACAGGGGCGACCGGACAGCCATCACCCAAAGCACCGGCTGGTAGCTTCCCCGCTTCCACTCAAGGGGCTCATTGGGTTGGTGTTTTTAGTTGATGACTCCAGGATTTAAAACCGTCAGAGGTCTTTGCTTCAAGATCTTTGTTTGTTCAGGCTTTTGTCCAGTCGACATAAGGTAAAGAGCGCCATGTCAGAAGAAAAATGTTGACTGCGCCTAATTAAGCAAAAGTATCTCATGGTTATGCTCAGGGACCTTGCATGGCTGACTCCAACATAAGCAAACAAACAGCTATGAAGCTGCAAGTATCTGGCCAGAATTGAATTTCCAAAGGTATGAGAAAAATGTCGAGTTGCAAAAGCAATCCTTTAAACACTCTTGCTGGCTTGTAAATGCTATTTTTAATATCTGGAAACGGGGGCTTGATCATTCCTGAGCTCCAGTGTGGTGTGCGTATGTTAATTTAGAACCTGACGCCTGATGACTTCATCATCATCTTTTATATCCCACAGGCATTAGGAAGAAATGCATTCGGTATGAACACCAAATTCGACATCTGTTTGGTCATATTTAAAGGGACAGAAGAAATGTTTGTAAACCAATCTGCCTAGCAAATACCAGTTCAGGATGGCTCACGGAACTAGGCAGGTGCACATCGAGATGAAATTTCTTGCATCTAATTTAAACTTTACTACACACACCAGCAGATAATCTCAATGTAAATAATACATTTCTTCATGACTCTTTTATGAAAGCTTGTATGTAAAAGGATCCTGATTTATTCTTCTGTAGCACAGCTTTTTATACTTTAAGTACAGTTTCTTATATGGAGGTTTAATAAAGCACATAATGGTATACTTGATGGAATTCTTTTTTTTCTCCCAGTTTTAGAAAAGCACTAAGTTCCACAAATTAAATCTGATTCCCAGATTAAGAGACAGATGACATCAAACTCGTGTGTGTTGTTGAAGGGAAGAAGGCTGGAGGGGATCACCAACTTTGCCATTTGATGTATCAGAAACCATTCTCTTTTTTTTTTTTAATTAACCCACAAGTTATTGTCAGGAAGAGGTGCCAGTTATGTTTTCTGGATTTTTTTTTATCTGTGTGTGTGTGTGTGTGTGTGTACATATACATGTATATTCGAGGAAGGGAATAAGCATTTCTGTGGTGTCTACTATGTGCTAAGTGATTTACTATTGTTATGTCATTAGATGTAATACATATAACATAATACTTAGAATGTATAAACAAAGTTAAATATATATGGATAGATACTGAAAGATCTTGGGGTTTAGTGAACTGCATGCTCAGTATGAATCAGCAGTGTGCTGTGACCACCAAAATGAAAAAAACCCCAAGGCAATCTTGGCCTGCACCAAGACATGACCTCCGGGAACAAGGAATGATCTCGTCCTACTCCGTCCCGGTCAAACTCCATCTGTAGTATTATTTGCCTTTCTGGAAACAACATAGCTTAAGGACACTGATAAACTGAAGTGACAAGAAGAACCTGGAGAGAAGGCTGGGGCAGAGTGGGTCACTACAGCTTTGTTCTGAGTGTCTGAAGGCCTGTAGTGTGGAACAGTGGCTAGAGGCCCAGGCGGCAGAGAATGGAAGGCAGTAATGGGCGAAGCTTTGTGTCAGGACAGACTTCCTAATAATGACAGCTCCCCAAGGGAAATGGGTGGTGAGCTCTACTTTACTGCAGGCAGTGGCTGGAAGGATTATTTGGCCTGAGCTTCTCCCTGGGTCATTTGCTAGACTGACCACAAACCCAAAGTGTGACATGATTTCCAGTAAAGCACACGTGATGTTAGCTGCGTGAACTGAAGGACAGCTTTATCATTTCACAACAGTGGCCACTGCGGTTCAGGCCTACCCTCTCCTGCCTCTGCCCTGGGCTGTGCCTGATGCCTGGAATGCATTCCCTCCCCCTCTGCCAGTTAAACTCCCCAATCCTTGACGGCCCAAGCCCAGTCCACTTCCGTGAAAAAATTAACACTCAGCTCTCAAACTTCCCACTGTACGTTTTCTTAGCCTCGATCAACCTCTAGGACTATGTGTTACAATGATCTCAGTTGGTGTCTTAACCTCTACCAGACTCTGCTGAATTCTAGGGTTCCCCTGGTGCCTGACCGTGCTCTAGACACAGGAGCTGTCTGATAAAACAAATGTTTTATAAAGCACTGTCAGAGACCCGAGCCAGTATGAAAAATGTGCCTGCAATGGAACACCTAAAGGGTGAAAATCAAAACAAATCTGCCACGAAGAGAAATTTGATGTCCATTAAGAAAAATAATAAAATACCTCTTAAAAAGGAAGGCTAACTAGGCCACTAGAGCTATGTGCCAGGCGTCATACCAAGCACGAGGAGTACAGATACAAGCAGATGAGGGAGTCCCTCACCTCAGGGAGCTTACATTCTAACGGGAGAATGCAGTACATGAACGGGAAGTGGCGAGACTGCTGATGAGGAGGAAGGAAAGGCAGAGAGTCAAGCTGTGAATGCCGTGAAGCCAGCTGGGGCCCCTCTTACTTCAAGGGACAAGCACACGATAACCCTCAAGTAGCCACTCTATGCACATAATGATTTTTCTCTTAATTTTAGGCAGTTTCCCAAATTTTAAGATCACCATAATATGTTACATTAGTACAGGCCTTGAGTGCAAGTTTCTGCATTAAGACCGACCTTTGCCTCTCAGGCCCAACTCCCAAGACTGCTTGCATAGAACAGGAAAACAAGGGGTTCATGACCTTGCTCCTCCAGTATGTAGGCATGTGCTTAATGCCGTTCAGCCAGTCACTGTGTGTCTGACCTCTGCACAGGAGCACATCTGAACAGCTGGGCCGGCTGTGCACCCTTCCCAGTCTGGCCAGCACAGCTCAGGTGGCTTTCACTTTACTGCCCCTGGAGGCCACAAGAAGGACAAAAGCAAAAAGATCCACACACAAAACTGTTTTCATAAGGGGAAGAAACCCGTGGTCCTGGTCTCCACATGACTGGAAGGGAGACTACGGAGATTCGAAACCCTCGTGCTCCCCAGCTGTTAGCGAGCCGCACCACGCCCACCTCCCACCATCGTCCGGGTTGTGGATCGTCTTTGGACGGGAGGCACCATCAAGCTTTTTCCCTCTCACCTTACACACATGGCTTACATCTGACACGAGTGTGCCCCCTGCCTTGTTTTGAGGGGCGCACAACTAGAGGGGAAGAGAATGGCGTTTCTCATAAACGGCCCCTCCCCGAAGAGGGACCATTAAATGACAGAGCAAATGTCCATTTGTTATACTTTACACCAGGGAAAGAAAAGGCGCCTTTTCTGCACTCCAACTACTGAGGGGGAGGGGGGGCCAAGTCTCCGTACTAGTAATTCCTTAGGAACTCTGGCCTGGTGACCCCTTCTGTGGGACTGTATCCCTGTGGTACTTCAGTAAAGTTTTTCAGACAGGATTCAAGGTAAACACGTCTCGTCTCCGTTCCACAGGAACTACTCCAAAGGAGAAACATTAGTATTTTTAGTCATCGAGCTTGTGTTTGATGGCAGCTTTTCCCTGCACCTCCCTTGTATCTGGCACAGTGTCTGATGAAGTGCTCGGGAACTGTGTCGATACATGAGAAGTATAATTCATGGAGAACCAAAATGCCTTCAGCTACTTTGATCTGAAAAATCCAGGAGGTGAAGGGAAAACGGCTTTCATCTTGAATTATTCAGATCATTGGCATCAATTTTTCAGTTCTCACAGGTAAAAACCTTCATGTTTACTATTCTAGACAGTGTTAAGAGTTCACAGCAGACATGCAGGAAACTTTCTGGGAGGCTTCTGCCTTTTGATTCACTCATTATTTAAGGAATAATGGAGCTTTGTTCGGTATTTTTCTATTCCAGTTTATATTAAAGCAGTTACAAATAAAACTTGAAATTTCTTAAAACTTGTATCATTGTCTCACGAATCTTGTTCCAATCCATCTTGTGCATGAAAAACAAACACGGTGCTAAAAACCCTCCCCGTCAGCCGGCCCGCTGTTGACATGCAGGCGCAGTGATTACGGATGGTGGCCATGGCTGGGCAGCAGGGATCCTGCTGATGCGGCAAGGATTCAAGGCTGCTCGTCTGTGCTGACTCGCCCCGAGAGCCGTTGTGCACGTTTACTCTGAGAAAGAAACGCTTCATGATTTCTGACTTGCCCACACCGGGCCTTCACACCCACAAGCTGGTCACGCGGTCTCTCGGCTGGCCACTCTCCAGAGGCACCCTTGAAAATGCCATCAGGGGTGACCTTTTAGCACTTTACTAACACGTTTTCATTTCTAGATCACTAGGAATTCGTTTTTTTAAAAAAAATATTGCCAATGACATGATTTGCTTTATTTTTTTTATCACAAGGTACAACAGGAAACTATGGCAGAGGTTAAGACATGGAGATGTGACATTCACACTGAGATTCCTTGCTGGGAATGGGCTTTGGCAAATGGAGCCTCATTCTACCTTATTAAGGGTCATGTTAACATGAAGTCTGATACTGAGGCGCAGTTATTGCTGGAGCGGCCTTGGCAGGCTTCACTGTGTCACATGAGAAGAGGCTCCAGAGGCATGAAAGACTGCGGATGACCACTTACATAAACTCCCCCCCCGAGGGGGGAGACCACGTACAAGAGGCAAGAACCGTAGAGCTTGGATCTAAATTGGGAAGAATTAATTTCTAGTTGCATAAAGTAAATTAGCACTCTAGGTAGTTGTCTTTCAGCCTTATATGTGCCCATTACACATATGTCCAAATGAAAGAATGTTCTTAGGAATCATCAAATTTCAAACAATTTTATATTGTCTAAATTTTTTTTAAATCACCCGATGTTTGATCTTTGAAGACTGTTTAAAAACGATTCTAACTTGATGAACCCAACTAAATTGGTAGAAAAGTCCATGTATGCTCTTTTGGGATAGCCACAACTCCTAAAGCAAGTCTTCATCTGAATTTCAGTATCCTGAGAGTGCCCTCTTGAAAAAGAGAAGGGCACATCATCTCATCAAACTCCAAGACATATACAACCAACCCCAAAGCATAATAATTTAGGAAACATCCCTTACAGAGTCATCAAGAAACACATATTCCCCTTTCTCACTATCAATATTTATGAGATCCTACCTTGCCACAGCTAAAGCATAACTAGAAAGAACCTCAATTGTACTTTGGTCCGTGTATGGAGGGCGTGGGGTCCAAGCTTGTGACTTCACTGGAGTAAGGAACTCTAGTTGTGGAAACACCAGCCCTGCTGATGTGCCCGGGTCCCTTGGCCAAAGTCCATGGCGGATATGGCTTCCTGATTTCAGCCCTTCCCCACCCCGCCATGATGCCTCTCGTGCTCCCCAGCCCCTCTGCTTTAAAATACACAATTCTCAACAGAATTTCACTTTTGGACAGCACAAGTTTATGAAATTTCAGCAACAGTCACATTTTGAAAATTATCTGGCTCTGCTGCTTTTTTGAGGACAATTAGTTGATTTTCTTCTGGTTTCTTCCATTTCTATGATCCCATAGAATTATAATATTGAAGTAGACCAAGAAAAGGAGAAAGTGCACACAGGAAACAAGACACACCAGCACAGGAAAGAGGTCGGGCACCTGTGTGGAGGCTCCACAGTAATGCTCACGAGGGTCAGAAGGCTCATCATCGTCACAGACTCTAGAAACTGTAATGAGAAGAAAAGGTCTGAGCAGAGGCACCGTGTAAAGACGGTCAGCATCAGCAGCAGTGACATTGCCACACACAGCTTTCCCAGAGTCCCCTTGGGACTGAGAGGTTTTGGACAAAAGCTGGATCCAATCTAGATTGCACTGTTGGCGTCCCCTCTACAAACACATGCACACAACCCCCCACACACCCCAACGACTTCTAAGTGACTGAAAATCCAAGCTGACCAGGACACACCTGAGATGCAGTCTGATGTCATGTTCATACTGCATGGCTGTTAAGGATGCTTGCTATCCATTCAATTCCACAAATATAGATTTGAACACCTAGTATGGTACTACAGGAAACATGCAAACAATATGGTCCCTCCCTGCTGGAGCACCAGCAGCTTAGAGCTTCACTGGACATAATTGCTAAAGTAAAGCATGAGAGAGGGCCAAAATGAGGGAAGACAAGAGATTTCCTAGAAAAGGAAGATGCTGAGGGAAGGAAAACCGGAGATGGCAACAGTCTCCAGAGCATGAGAAGCCCAAGTTTCACATGCCATAAATGGGGTGTCAGGGCAGGTCCCAGGGAGACTACAGAGTTACTACTTGGTAAGGCATCTGCACTGAGAAGCGTCACGTCGACCACCAGAATGCCCATCCCTCCACTCCCTACCGGGCTTCAACCCCTCAGCAACAAACATCAGGTCAGGAGAGAATGTTCAGCAAGGGCCTCCCCCCCCCAAAAAAAAACTACTTACAAGAGGAAGGGCCCCTAGACCTTGGGCGCTCTGCCTTCTGGCAGGAAGTTTCAACAAACCACATTGCTTAGGTATCAGGTGTCCATGATGACCTTAGCCCCAAGTGACCTTTCTTATTGGCTATGAAAGCACCAAGTTCTCTGGAATGGAGTCAGCAACTCTGGCTTTGCCCCTGGCCAAGGGCAGATCTGATATGCCTCAGTTTCTTCATTTGTACAGTGGGGATAATAGAATTTGCACTACCTCCCTCCCAAGATGGTGGCGAGGAGTGTGATTTAAATGGGTGCCGTTGTCATGGTTCTTCACGTGGGCCCATCTTTTCATCTCCCCTGCTAGACTGTATGTTAGCTGAGGGCAGGTCCTCTTATTCATCTTTGTATGCTCCCTCCCCCTGCACCAGAATGACACTTAATAAACACTAGGTGCTCTACAGATTACTGTCAAATGAATTAACCTTTTGGGGGAAAACGAAAGGACAAAAAGAATTAATTCTGGTCTAGAAAAAATATTCTCTTAAACTTTCTGGAGCAAAAACTATGTGGACATGGTCCTGTTTTGGTCAGATGACTTATGTGATGCCAATATTTTTTATATTATGCAACTAATGCCCTTATTTTAAACTACGATCCGTGATAAGGAAATATTTTAAAATGCATCTAGCAAATGACTTATTCACGTAGCATTTCTGTACTTAGAGCCAAGAAGCCTCACACACCCTGCCTAACCTACTGCTTTCCTCGATTTCTTTATCAAAGACCCCAGGGAAAACCAGACTAACACCCCCCAACACTCTCAGCCCCCAGACACCCTGATAACAGCGCCTTGTGGCCCTCAGGACAGATGCAGAGCCACGGTGGTCAGCGGGTAAGCAATTTCTGCTTGACTTCCAAGCCTCTAGTCTTGGGCAGGGGTACACTTTGGGTCACCGGACACCTGGTAATGATCAGGAAAGCGCTGCTGCCTCTACAGAGAGAGACAGTCAATACGGGACAATTCCTTGACAATGACGTGACTTACCCAAGTTTTTAGCATCTTAGCAGGAACCTTGAAACCAGGGATGTGCCTCTGGACAGACACAGAAAAGGACTTTAATTGCAGTTCTTCTTCAGAAATGTTTTCAAATATCGAAAAGGAAGATGCACAGGCCACCCAAAAGCCCAGTGTAGTTCCAACGGAGGCCAGCGCTAGCTGGTCCTTGAGAAGAAGAGGAAGCATGCTGGGGAGGAAAACAGGTGAGACACAGCCACGTGAGAGTCCACAAGTGAGCCTCTGGGGAAGGGCAAACACCCAAGAAGGCCGGTCTGACTCACCTGAATGTTGACACAAGTAAAAACCATACTGACAGAAAAGGAACTTCGTTCAGAATTAAGCAGACTGGCCTAAAATGAGAAAGAAAAATATTTTAAGGCACAGAATTGTATTTCTGACTTTTGCTCTTAAGCTAGAATGTAAAAATATTGTACCTGCCTGACGTTTTCTGACTGGGCTAAGAGACAGAACCTTGTACGTGGAGCTAATACACCACTGCTCCTTTTCTCTAACAATCCAAACTAAGGAAGATTCCAGCTCCACAGAACCTGCCTGGGCATCCTCCTGTGGTGGAGGCAGCTCTTCACCACACAGAAAACATCTTCTAATCTCCCATCCCTCCTACCCCACCCCCACCCCCGCCCCCAATGGATAGCACCTTTTCTCTCTCTTGGAAACAGCTAACCCCAGGAAGGCTACAACAAACAGACCTCACAGGCTCCCACAAAATGGTACAACTGGGAGGGATTTAGGACTTGTTTGGTCCAACCTTCCCATTTTACAGATGAGGAAACTGAGGCCCGGAGAGAGGAAAGTGACTGAAGATTCCAGGGCTAGTCACAGCAGAGATGGGCCCAGACCATTTCAGGCTCTTCCTGATAGACTGAGTGACCTCTCTGATCAACAGAATGAAAACTTACAGGGAAAGAGGGGGAGCTCTCTTGATTCTATCCTCCTGAGCTATCCTGAAGAATAAATGAATCCTCAGGACAGCCATTTGCAGTGGTGTTCATCCTAATGTACCTTCACAATCCATACCACCCAATTTCCCACAGAAGAGAAAACCAATAGCCAGGACAACAACAGAGAGGCCGAGAGTTTGTAGAGAGGACAAGAGGAGGATGAGGGATGAAGAAACAAGGGGCCAGGTCACGCCAGAGCTGGAATCCAAAGGCTAAGCTACCAAATGACACCAAAGAGAGGTCTGTACCAGACATGTGCCCAGTGACCTCATCAGAGCAGGTGAAGAGCCTGGCAAACATGAAACTGTCTCATGCTCCCCAAAGGATCCAAGGCATCTCCTAGACAATGCCAGGACCGGCCACCTCTGCATTTTTCCTCTAGATGTCTTGCCTGGACTCTGTGTGTCCTCCTTCCATTCCTCCATCAACGTCATCAAAGATGAAACGCTCCTAACTTAGCTCTGCGTGGGACCTCGCGCAGAGGCAGTCCAATGAGAACTTTCTCATTACTGGGGCAGGGATGCTTTTCTACCTAAGTAAGGTAACTTTCTCCCCTCCCCAGGGCAGCCCCAGAGTGTCTTAGAGCCCACTGGCTGGCTGGGCTTTTAAGTGTTACCTGCACTGTTCACACTTTCTCCATAACTTTTTTTTATTATTTTTTTTTACTTTTTTATTTTATTTTGGTTTTTTTAGGCAGTTGGGGTTAAGTGACTTGCTCAGGGTCACACAGCAAGCAATGTCAAGTGTTTGGTCTGAGGCTGGATCTGAACTCAGGTCCTCCTGACTTCAGGGCCAGTGCTCTATCCACTGCACCACCTAGCTGCCCCACTCCATCACTTTCTTGTGTCTACACAATCAACACTACAGTAAGCCAAACCTTGTTGGGAATTTGCTGATTTCCAAGGTGTGTCAAGTGCTCACCCACCTGCTTGCTCTCTTGTGAGCCACTACCTTCCCCCCACCTAAAAACCTGAGAAAGGGAGGAAGGGAGAAAGGAGAACTCAAAAATTCCCATTATCAGCCACAAGTAAACAAGCCTTTTCTTTTACCCTCCCTCATCAACTGGTTTTCAGCAGTTGCGGCTTCCCTGTTCTGAAAATACTCAAACTGAGGTTCACAGGACTGTCATTTCAAGTGAAAACAGGACTCATGTGATGTGCCCTGGGCACCAGTCCCCAGTGGACTGGACGTGCTCCCGACGACAACACTGCTCCTTCTGAAGTCAGCTGGGAATTCAGCGTCCAGAAGAAGAGCGAAACATGGGGAAGGGAGTGATCAAAATGATGTCAGAAATGGGTCGCGAAGGCCTCTCTGGCTCTGAATCTAGAACTCCAGGAGCCGTTTAAGAGATGAATTAGCCTCACTCATTGCTCAGTCCATTCTACAAACATTTATCAAGTCCTGACTGACTCTATGTGGGGCCCGAGTGCATTTGTGCATTTTATTTACTGTATTCATAATGCATGCTAGTGTGCAAATTATAGTACACATTTCTATCTATAAAGCACAGATTTATTACATGTAGCAAGATTTTACTTACAAGGAGACCAAAAGGATGGATTTTTCATGTACTTGGAAGGAGAACAAGAAGAATGACAAAGCACAGCTAACCTTTACAGGAGGAAAAAAAGGAAGATGGGACATAAAATCAATACATACAAAACATGCACAGTAACTTAAGTAGGATTCCTTCGGTGAGACATGCATAATACTACTGGAATAAAATTCATTTAGATCAATTCTAGTATCTGCACTAAATACTTATGAGCAACATTATTATTAAAAAGCTACACGCAACTACTCACAATGTATTCATTTAATAAAAACCAAAGCCTCGGCTCTCGGAGAGAAACAGCTGCACCTTCATCTTCCATTCACAGTGTGGAGATTTCAAAATAAAAAGTGTGGATGAGTGAGAACGTCCCAATCACACTGTAACTCCTCAAAGCTCTTAATGCTAAAAATGGGTTGTAAATTGAACAAGATGTTTAAATTCATAATTTGATTTTTCAAGTTTAAGAAAACAGATTTTGGAGAAATCGTTTTCAACACATAAATTTTTATGCTCAAAAATTACCTGTACTAGGAGTCACCCACAGAGACACTAAAAAAAAACTTACTGGCTTATATATACTCAAACTAGTGAACAAAATTCCACTTAAAAATAATAAATATGTCAATGATTATAGTGAGAATTTTTAAGCTGTGAAATAAGTTGGCAGTAAAAACACTACGATTCACTGTGGAAACATCAACAATAGCAGAATAAAGGAAACCATTCCTCTAGGTCACTTATAGTGAAGATGAGCATGAGGATGGAATGACTGCTGGAGGGGATGAGCACAACAGGCACAAGGGGAAGGGCCACTACAGTAAAGGAGAGGACAGCGACAACTTCAGGGGGTTTTGGAACGTTCAGTAGGGAAGACTTAGAGGTTCACAACAGTCTCAAACAGGACTAGAAAACAGAGAGGTTACTTAAGGGCTGTGGGGTGGAGGGCAGAGATAAGTGCTTCTAAGAGCCTAAATGGGTAGCTAGGTGGCATTACAGTGGATGGAGTCAGGAAGACCTGAGTTCAAATCCAGCCTCAGACTCTTACTAGCTTTGTGATCCTAGGTAAGTCACTTAAACCTGTTTGCCTCAGTTTCCTCATCTGTAAAATGAGCTAGGGAAGGAAATGGCAAACCAGTATCTTTGCTAAGAAAACCCCAAATGGGGTCATGAAGAGTTGGACATGACTAAAAACAACTGAAAAACAAAAAGCCTAAACAGATAAAGATTATACTATAGCCAACACTCCTGTAATAATGTTTTCTACCATATCTTTATCCAATACCCTGTTTTCGAAAGACAGAATTATTACATTTGAACATATTGTTCAACAGAACAGAATTATTACGTTAATCCTGCAAACAGTTTTAAAACTTTCCAGTATTCCTAAAGCCAGCACTTGCTAGACCCACACTCCTGGAAAGCCCCCAGGTTCTAGGAAAACAGCTTGCCACTTATAAAGACAACTACTCAAAATGTCACCCACCAAATAAATCCCCAGGAAAATCTAACCCCAAAATAATGGAACAGGAAGGCTGCACCTAACTCTATTTTACATGGCCATGCAACAAAAAACCACAACAAATGACAGGTGGGGGTTTGGGGGGGGGGAGGCTGAGGGGGTAAGGGGCCGGACAATGGTGCCCAAGTCCTGGGATTCAGCACTTTCTATGCTGCAGTTCCCATCTAGCTCCACTAGGCCACACTGTTTCCATAAAATACATTTTCTTTCTCTTCAAGGAGAAAAGCTACTCAAGACAAAGCAGGACCATTGAGCAGGAGCCCATGGTTTTCCAAGTTGGCTCAAAGAAACCTCACTCTTAGAGAACAAAGCGTGTTCTGCCCGTTTGCTTCATGAGCCAGTCCAAAGCACTGAGAGTGTGAAAAAGAGATAATCTCCTATTTTAAGGACGTACAAAACTTACCAGAGCATATTTGAAGCCTCTGAGACTGGGCTGAAGGGTGAGTTTTATACACGCAGGAAGCAGGCTCAGGAACGTCAATGCAAAGCTAGAAGAGTTTAAAGGGTTTGTTTGTGCAGGTTCTTCATTCTCCCAAAATGGCACCCCACCTCCCATCCCACGGCCTCTGCCCTGGCCTGGCACGCACCCTCTGACCTCCTCTCTGAGGCTCCCTCGGCTTACCATCACTGTTCCTTCCCCCTTCCAGTGTTTATTCTACATATACATATTTATGTATGTGCTGAACCCTAACCACACATCTATATCCCACTCTGTGTTGGTATCCCCAATACTGAGCACAGTGCCCCCCAAAAAACCCATCATGCAATTTTTTATTATAAACATTTTTCAACTTAAGAAATTTAAAATTATGGACAGATGAATATATAAATTATGCACATAACAACTACAACAGTAATAGAGGCAGCCAGTGGCACCAGGCAAAAGAATGCTGGGCCTGGAACCAGGAAGGTCTGAGCTCAAATCCATCTCAGACATTTTCTAGATGTGAGACCCTAGACAATCTCTGTCTGCTTCAGTTTCCTTAACTGTAAAATGGAAATAATAATAATAGCACCTACCACGAAGGGTCAAGGGTCAAGTGATGTAATAATCATAAAGCGCTTAGCCTGGTGCCTGGCACACAGAAGGTGCCATAGAAATGGTCGCTATGTGCTATCGCTGTTGTTGTCATTATTATTATTAGATTCCGCCGTCCCCTTGCTAATCCACTCTCCCAACCTACAGCAGGTCACTAGTAGCAAGTTAGAAGGGAGAAGGCCTAGTCTCTTTGAGCGGTACCAAAGGCAGTAAGAAATGCTGGCCAGCAGTGAGGAAAGAGGGGGAAAAACGAAAGTCAGCACAGACCTGAGCCACTCCAGACAGGAGGGAGCTAGCTCCCTCTGGGCGCTGAGGGCGCCTGGCTCTCCTGGGGCCAAGCTCCAGGCGATACATTGGAGCCCAAGACACAGTCCAGAGGCTAAATTGGGTCCGGGTTCATTCTTTCTTTTTTTTTTTTAAAGGCAAACAGTCCATTTCAGAAATTCTCTCATCCAAACGGCTGACACACAACACTGTCAGGCCTTCAGTTATCTGAAAAATACGTCATTCCCTGATGATGACCCCAGGCCACTTATGGACACCGAGTAATTACTGCAAGAACTCCTACCTGAACATCAGCTGGGTGTGAGGTGAAAGAAGGTCCTTTATCTTCAGAAGGACATTGACACTGCACCAAAAATTGGCTACTTTGTCCTTAAAAGAGAATTGTTCATTTTAGATTTTGTTATATTTAAGAGAAATTTTTAACAATTAGTAAAGCTCATCTTCCCATGTATTCTATCCTAAGGTAAAGGAGAGGGGGCAACTTCTTCCAGACTTTTGAGGTGCAGTTCGTAATGAAAGGTTAGGAAAGAATGTGCCTAAAATAGCCGAGAATTCCTTGCACAGCCTCCCAGGCAGTTGATGTCACCAAAAATTTTAAAATAGAATACTTTAAATCACTTTCTTTGGAAATACTCTGAACCAGCTATTTTTCCAACATGCTGTTATTATACACCTGAATTTACGGAAAATAACCTAACTCACTGCTAGCAATGCCAGAGTTAACTACTAATAAATCAAGCAGGTTGAAGACGTTAGCAGTTGTGCTAGGATCACTTTCAAAATTAAATTTGTAACCCAGCTCTCATGCTCCCGAAACCCACCCTCTCCACAGCTGCTTCAGTCACAGCTGTGAAGGCCTGACATCAAGAAAGCGACTTGCCCAGCAAGCGTGCCGTCCCCCCAGCAGGCTACGCAGCCACAGAGGAGATGGTCTTCCTGCTGACCGAGGATTAGAAGGCAGCACCGGCCAACAAACACTTAAGATGCCAGCGAGAAATGTTCTAACCATCAGCATTTGTTACCATTTCAGAAATGGAAGCTGAGTCAGAGAACGGGTGAGAGGCACACAACCCTCCACTTAGTGGGCTCTGCTGACAGAGTTAATCTGATTTATTTAAATGAATGCCCAAGGAAATAATTTCCTGCTCAACATAAAACCTATCTGAGTCAACTGCAGGTAAAAATAACATACAAGCATACATGTGTCTGTACAAACTCCCACCTTCTTGGGTTCCCTAAAAATATTGGTTAGATCATGTAAAAAATATTTTAAAATATGATAAAACTACTTTTTTAAAAAATTCTAAACATACATCGGTCTTTAAATGGCATTCCTTTCAAACTTCTTTTTCTCTGCAGCAAAAGGTGACAGATTTTCAGGGTCAGTGCTCTCAGGGACACACCATCTCAGGCTTCTGACTGGCACTTGTTTCAGGAGACCAACTCTGAATGTGCGGGCTGGATTTCTCTTTAGTTAAAAGCCTTTTTACATTGGAGAAAATTCTTTTGGTATAACCTAATTACTGAGTTTCACTTAGAACTATTTACATACTACACCAAAGAAGACTGATAAAATTGGAATTACAGTTCAAAGTTTTCAGTGAAAATTAGCGCCAATAAAACTGTCCACTAATTGTTTCTGAGGTTTTCCAAGTGGCGTCCTTAGACTGAAGAACAAAAAGAATGCCAACTTCTCTCCAGAGGAGCTGCTAACTTTATAGCCACATCTTCTGACACCGTCATTTACTATGGAATGCATTTCAGTGGAAAAATGTAGGCCTGAAATATGGATCTGATGATGGCATCAATATTACCTTCTCATATCTGTCCTAAAAGATGCCAGCTGAGCTCGGGGTTAAATCTGGATTAAGTAACTGGCAAAGAGGGAGTACAGGAGGGGCCCAGCTCGAGTTACCAGCCCTTGCGTGTCTTCCACATGAAACTCCTAAAGGTCAGGGGGTAGGCTTCTCAAGGGAAGGGCTGGGAGGAAAGTCAGTAAACATGCCTCAAAGAGTCCCCGGCCAACTGGGAAGAGTCTTCTTAGCACTTGCACGGTCTGTTCCACTTGCGTAAAAAAAGGCAGCCAGCAGACAGCAAAGGCAGCGACCACGGCACAGCAGCGATGAGTTTAACGAGCAGCAACAACCTGGGTCAGAAAGACAAGCAGGGCGGAGAAATCACCCTCCTGCTCGCTCCCCATTCTACTCCACACGCAAAGTCGAGGGACAGAACGTAAATGGCAGAGGAATGCTGCATCAGCACTGTTACTGTAGGTGGGAACTGGCTGGGGGGGAGTGAAAGGAGAAGGGTTCTGGGGGAGGAAACCCCCCTCTGAATCCGAAACAACCAACGTCCCATCTGATGAAAACGCAGGCGCAAAGGGCACGTCCGTCCCTGGCCAACATTTAGCTCTAATGGCAGCAGGAAGGAATAACAGCACGACCAATGTAAAAACAATTTTATCAAATAGATTCAAGCAGCAAGGCCCAGAGACTGGACCTGCACCTTAGCTGGTAAAGGGCCCTCTCTGAAGAGAAAATCCCCTCAGCCAACACAGGCTGCTTGCTTGAGCCCTGAGCCCAGGAGTCAAAGGGGGCAACCGAACCCAGACCTTCCTGGCTCTCAGACCGGCTCTCAATCCACTAAACCACGTCCACTGCCTCTCACCCTCAAACAATACACCAATAAAACAATGCATCAAATTCAGTGTGTTCTCTTCTCAATGTGGCTTGGAAACCTATGGGGAAGAATAAGGCCCAGGTCTAACTAAAAAACTAAATAATATGGAAGAAAAATAGATGGAACAAAGAAAGACAAACAGTGAATGCAACGCTCCCTGATTCACCAAAGAAAACAGCTGGGAAGGTCAGGAACAAGCCCCCGCAGGGACTTGGAGGTCCACATGCTGACACAGAGGAGATGTGTCCTAACATTTCAAACTCACTTTTGTTGAGTACAGAGGTACATAACAGCACTTCAGAGATGGAATTCATGACGGAAATATGGCAAAGAAAGGGAGGAAACATCTCCCAGAAAGGTGGGGGAACAGAGCTCCCCATTACAGATGAAAACCTGCCTGGCGGGGGCTGTGCTGATGAAACAGAAGGAGGCATGCCACGGGACTATGCCGTGGACAGCCCAGGCAGGTGGAGGATGGGGCTGATGCTTTCCCAGTCTGGCTCACAAACTGGCAAGCTAGAGTGATGGCAGGGACTCGACTCTTTCTACAGCTGCCATTAATCTTTGGAACTGCAGACGGAGCAGCAAATCTTTGCTTTCTGGACAATATTCTCTCTCAACAGGGAGAGGAAATAATATGGAAAACTATCCCTCTGAGCTTCATTCTAAAAGGAAGGACTGGGCAGATAAGAAGAAAGCCACTAGAATTCAGAGATAACGTGACGCAGTCACCTGGGAAGTCACATCAGTCCAAGGTAAGGACCCTGGCACTGTCAGATGATGAGGTGATTCCACCTGCTTCTCCTCGCCTGTCTGTAGGCTGCTAAGTTTCCCTGACATCATGAAATGACACTGACTTCAATCACTAGGAACCTGGGCTAGGCCTGGCTGCTGCTCACCACAGGTACAGAAGAAGATTTAGCCTCCAACTTGACTAAGATTAAGACCGTTTGATGGGCGCTCCTTCAGTCCTCCTCAAGTCCTCAATCTAATCTCTCCTTCCTAACCTTTGATCTTATCCCCTTCCACTACAAAATGAGACCATAGCTGTAAAGGACTTTGTACAGTATTTGGCACACAGTAGGTCCATAAAAAATGCTTATTCCCCTCCCCTCAGCCACCATTCCCAAGGAGGAGTCTGGAGTGAATGAATCAGGATGGGGGGAGCGCTGGCACTGAGCCATGGAAATGGGGGCTTGGTTCCAGTGCTCCTCCCATCATTCTGATTCATTCACTCCAAACTCCCTCCTTCCACTGTCCCAACCTCAGTTTACAAACCTGTCCTCCATTCCTAGAAAACCCTGTTCCCCTGTCTCTTCTAAACCCTGTTACAGTAGCCTCAGGATTTAACTGGTTAAAAGCTAGACTCATCTGTACATGAGGCAAGAACCGGCCCAAAGTCAGCTGCCTGAACAAAGTCTGACAACCGGATAATGAACCAGAGAGCTAAAGAGAAACTGCCAAGGCTACTGTTCCACCTTGGGTGTAGACAACACGGCAAAATGCTCTAAGACTGCTGGACTGCAGAAGAGAAAGGAAAAAGAAGATAAGGAGGAAGAGTTACAGCCACAGGCAGTCACCTGGTACATCAGCATTCACTGAGGCCAAGAAAGAAAAACCTAGTGGTGAATCCAAGGATGGCCAGCACCTTAGGAAGCTAAGGCCTGCTCAGTCAGACACAAGGGCACGAGCCAGGCTGGTGCACGTTAAACGTTGCAGAAGGGCAAATGTAAAGATGGACATCTGAGAGCATTGTGGGGATGAGATAAAAGAATGGCGCAAGACAGGCTTGTGTCCAGACGCTATTCAACTCCTCACGTGTAGCAAGCCTGCACCTTTCGGCAGGGCTGAGGTTTACCAACTCCATCAAGGACCCAGATAACCTTGGTGGAGTCTAAGTTAATCTAAGATGCCAGGCTATCATGCATGGGAAGGCGAGGGAGGCGTTCTAGCAGAAGCATGAGAGTGAGAGCTACATTTTAAGAGGGAACCAGAAGAGGGAGAATTCTCAGAATCATGCCACTGGACAAAGAACTGAAGGGATGCTTAATGTCATCAAAATAACATAGATCTAAGTAAACACAGAAGAGATCTGAAAACAGTAGAAAAGTTGTCATAGGCAAAGAGAAATGAAACACCGTGCAGTTACCTAAAGGTCAAAGTAAGACGGGGAAAAGGCACGTGGTGTCAGATTGAGCTCCCTAGAAGGAATGACCAACAATCAGGGCTAAGAAAGAAAGAGCTGCCTTCTGAGCGCATGAGCTCCTTGTTGCCAGAAGCAGTCACGAAGAGACCGTCAGGGGTGCTGACAGAGGCACTGACGGGGCTAGACCAGGGGACCTGAGGCATCGGCCAGTGCAAGCACTCGATAGTTCTACTTCTCCAAAGATCACACAGGCTGTGTTGTCTCACAATCACTCCCAACACTGGGTAATCTAATGTTCCAATAAGCCAAGGACTGTGTACCTGCAACAGGTGCTCACTCAGTACAGTTAGTCAGTCAATAAACACTGATTATGCGTCCACTGTGTGCCAGGTCCTGGACTAAGTGCTGGCGATACAAAGGAGGCAAAAGACAGTCTCTGCCCTCGAGGAGCTCACGGCCTAGGAGGGAGACGGCATGCAAACAATGACGTACAAACAAGCTACAGGCAGGACAAATTGGAGATCATTAACAGGGGAAGGCACTAGAATTAAGCAGGATTGGAAAAGATTTCTTGCAAAGGTGAGACTTTCACTGGGACCTGAAGAAAGCTGGGGAAGCCAGGTGGAGGAGATGAGGAAGGAGAACATCCAGGAACACGGGACAGCCACAAGTGGGGGGTGGGGAGGAGGTGTAGAAAGACTGCCAAGGTGGGGAGGGGGCTACATCATGGAGGGCTCTGAGCACTCTGTACTGCATTCTGGAGGGCATAGGGAGCCACTGGCATCTACGGAGTAGGGGTTACAGGGTCGACACAGTCAGATTTCACCCGGCTTTAGGAAGATCAAGAAATATCTGCTGAATTCTAGGAAGGACAAAATAACCAAGCTATGAAAATGCAAACTGGACACATCAATGTGATAATCTGGGCACTCCACTGAAAGATGGCCAGTGACAAAGAGAAGGAAATCAAAGACGGGCAGCCAGGACGCTGTGGTGACGTGGAACCATGATCACAGGAAGCTCAGGCTGGCCGGCCTGGAGGACAGTCAACCAAATGTATTCCTGAAGGCATTTTCTGGAGTCCAGTACTTAAAACATACTCACCCCTTTCCTTTCAGGCCCTTCTTCAAACATCTGCCTAGCAAAAAGCAAAAGAATGGCAAAGAATGGTAAAGTTCCATCTGTTTGTAATTTAAGGCCAGGCAAAATGCCAAAGACCCTAGGATGTCCCAGTCATAAGACAGGCCAAGAACAGCCCACAAAGTCAAGCCGAGACTCACACAATTATATGTGTTTCTCTATCAAGGAAAAGCTCCACAAGAGGCCAAAAAGCACATCTAGAACTGCACAGACAATTTCTCACATATAATAAAATACTCTAAAAAATTAAATATTCTTTAAAATATAATTCTTCCTAAGCAGAAATTAGTCATTAGAGCAATAGTGGTAATTACTTAAAAACAAAATATTAAGGAACATGATCTGTAAAACCTAGTGTTACAGCACATGATTTGTTCAGGATTACAAGAGCTACAACTGGTAAACTGAAATTTTTCCTAAGATAATAGCAATGAGACAAGTGAATCAATGAATGTTAAATCTGCTAAAATCTTGAAAACAAACAAGTCTGCCGAACAGGCACCCTTTCAAGCACAAAGAAACAATGATTTCTCTTACAAGTCCATCCCCCAGAACAAATGAACACGTACGTTCAATTAACAGCAATAAAGCCGCTGCATTAAAACACTGCCCAATGTCATGACCAAAGTGCACCGTATTTTCGTGGCACTTTTCTGCCACAGATTTGTTTTATCTGTAAGGTGAGGGCTGCAGGACCAGGGGCCTCTGAGGCTCGATTCCGGAGCTCCCCCTGACGCCCCAGCCATCTTCTGATAGTTTTGCCATTTGCTTTGCTGCCCAGACCAGAGACCAAGCCCTGAAGGTGTGAACCTTTCACCTCCAGAGCTCCACCCTGGGTGCCCACTGTCCTAAAGGGAGACCGACTCTCTGGGCCCCCTATTTCAAAAAGCCCCAGCTATGCTTCCCACCCTCCCTCATCTCTGTCCATCTTCTTGCCAGTCTCTCCAACCACCCTGGCCAAGCTTTTTACCCCATCTAGCTCTGGAATCAAATGCCTCTGCCATGTTCCCTAGAAGAGGTGTGTCAATCTATTTCCTTATCTGCCCATCACCCCTAAGTTCATAACCAGAGCACCCCTCCCTGGCCAATACTCCCATGTATAGAGCATCTCCCAGTTAGATTAGAAGCTACTTGAAGGCAAGGACTGTCTATATTTTTGTACCACTTAGCACACAGCACAGTGCTTAACAGGAAGAGCTTAATACTTTATCACTTAATTCAATGTGCTGATAAATGAAAAGAACTGCCACATAGCATTAAGAGCCCAGCTGACACAAGCCAGCACATTTTTTAAAAAGTTTTTTTAAATTTATTTTTAGTTTTCAACATTCACTTCCACAAGATTTTGAGTTCCAAATTTTCACCCCATTTCACCCCTCCCCCCACCCCAAGATGGCATGCGTTCTGAATACCCCTTCCCCTAGTCTGCCCTCCCTTCTGTCTCTCCCTCCCCTTCTCTTATCCCGTTCCCCTTCTATTTTCCTATAGGGCAGGATAGATTTCTGTACCCAATTTCTTCTATTTCTTATTTCCCCATTGCATGTAAAAATATTTTTTTTGAACATGTGTTTTTAAAACTTTGGGTTCCAAATTTTCTCCCTTCCTCCCTCCCCACCCACCCTCATTGAAAAGGCAAGCAACTCAATACAGGTTATACATGTGCAGTTATGCAAAGCACTTCTGTAGTAGACATGTTGTGAAAAACTAACTCTATTTTCCTTAAACCTATTCTGCCCCCCATTTATTCTGTTCTTTCTTTTGACCCTGTCCCTCCTCAGAAGTGTTTGCTTCTGATTACCCCCCTCCCAATCTGCCCTCCCCTCTCTCCTGTCTCCGGCCCCCTCTATTTTCCTGTAGAGTAAGAAAGATTTCCATACCCAATGGAGTGTGTAAAGCCAGCGCATTTTTGTAGCAGGCAGAGTTCTGATGTATGGGAGTAAGGATGCAGAAGGCTTACAGGGGGAAGACACTACAGATGAGATCGAGTGAAGGAGTGCAGAAAGGAAGGGAGGGAGGGAACAGGCATTTATTAAGTACCTACTATGTGCGCCCCGCACTATGCTAAGTACTTTACAAGCATTCTCTCATCTGATCCTTAGATCAAATGGGGCGGGGCTTTGGAAAAAAAGCGGAGGCTTGGAGCAGCTGCTGTGCTCATCTAGGGGGCTGAGAATCGATTTAGGATTAGAAGTGCCCTGGGGCAGTGAGGACTCACCTCAGCGCAGGACCCGGGGGCCATCGACAGCTGGATTTTTCTGGGAGGCTGAGACACTTTCTGACACCTCTCTAATGTTCCCTCTACATCCTCCTTGGTTTGCTATGAATCAGTGACAGTTTGTTAACCACGGAATGGGGGTCCTACAGCTGTAGCAGGGGACAGAGCTGGAGTGAAGAGGAATGAAAATCTGGAGAGAGAAGAGGATGCCTACCACATTCTGGCTGGTGTCTGCACTCCCGCCTCTGGATGGCGCATGCCGGGAACACTCCATGCGCACTATCAGGGCACAGAGAATAAGCAGACAAGGGGGATGGAGAAGCTGGGGGAGGAGGCAGCCAACAGGCCTACAAGTACCGAGCCCCTCTTCATTCGGTCAGTTGCCGAATCCCCCACATTCTGGATTCCGCCCCTCCTCTCACCAGCCCCCACGGCCCTTACGCTCTTCTCTCTGGCCCATGCCCCGTTCACTCTGCTCCAAGCCCCTGGGCTGGATCACTACCTCCCTTACACAAGCCACTTCTACCCCTTCCTTGCAGTCACCATGGGACTCGTCTTCTTTAAATACAGACTTGGTCACGTTCTTGGACCTTTCCGTGGCTCCCTATTGCCTCCTTCCCTGGTAGCACTGAAGCCTTCCACAAGCTAAAGCCTCACCACAGTCCCTTCCCTCTCCTCCCCTTCTGGCTCAGCTACTGTTTGTATCTGTTCGTGATGCCTGGAACACCCTGCACCTCTTCCCTTTCCCATCTCCCCCCTCAAGCCCTCAGACCTTCACTACCTACTCAGCATTCCAAGCCCTACTCCAATAGCGGCTCTTTACATCCCGCTCTGTGTTCCCCAGCCCTGGGATCTCCCCCTTCCTCTACAGCGCTGAGCAATGACTTCTCTGGGGGAAGGTCAGATTCCCTGCCTGATGCTAAGCTCCCAAGTCAGTGAACGCTTCCATCACAATGCTGCCCGCTGCCCCCCAAGTCAGTGTCCTTAAGAAATGTTGCTTCAGGTGCCTGCTAAACGTTTACAGCGACTGAAATGTGCTAAGAGAACAGCATCTAGTGATGGCAGGAACCTGCCATGCTGCAGTGGGAAGGCAGACATAACAGAGAAAGGGATAACCCAACAAGAGAAGTGAGTGTCTTTTGCATGTCCTTTGACAGATACGCATATTAATTTCATTACAACTCAAACAAACTGGCTTCAGAAGGAGAAGCTGTTAATGAAGCAATCACGTTGCTGTGCATTATGGGTTTTTCTTTGGACAGATGGGGACAGTAACTCTAGACACACCAGACACCATGCACATGCCTCAGAAGCGGGCTTTCTGCTGTTTTTCGTTTGAGCGCTTCTGGTTATCAGCACAGCCACTTGGGTCTGCAGAGATCTGAGTCATGTTGTAGGTGGGCTTTCCTTTAGCACTTCAAAGGAGACAGCATGGACATCTGCCTCATTCTCACACCCTGCTGGCTGCTTGATAAGCCCAAGTAAGCGATTCTCTGGTTGTCATTCACTTACATGTGTGGGCGCCACACCCTTCCTAGAGGCAGCTAAGACCCTGCCACTGTTTTCCTTCCAGGCCAGACAGGCATGAAAACACAGCCCTTTTAATTCCTCAGAACCCCACAACAGCAAGAAAATGCTCCATTCTTGGTGCGTATGACAAATTTCTTTAAGCAAGAACACTACCAAACACTATCAAAACAGAAATTCGCATAGCATCAAGATAGCACAAGGTGCTCCACTATTTAAGCGTCAAGTTCAGAATGAGCAAAGTAAACATTTCACTTCTAAGTTTGTAAAGGATACTGAAAATGTCCATAGTCAATCAGAAGAAGACCTGGATACAGCAATATGCAAAAGGCACTCGCAATCTAGAGAGAAAAACAGTGCAAGGCAAAAATGAATCTCTGGACCAAATGAAGCAGGGTGGCCCATACACTGCGGTCTTGAGCCCTTAGGGGCTACTTTCCCCCCTAGCTATCCAAAGCTTCTTTTCTGCCTAGCCCTGAAGTCAAAGGGCTGCCTAGTAATGCACTGTCCTCCAAGGGAAAGGTCAGGGCTCTGGAGGAGCAGCCCCAGTGCTGGGGCCCAGAAGAATGGGGGAGATCCTAGGGGCCACCTGTCCTCCTGGTGAAGGAAGGCTCTTAAAGAGGAAGAGGGACACCCGGAACACGTCTCCTTCCAAATCTCTGCACGGGGCCTGCGTCGGGCACAGCGTGCTCACGCAGCACTAACGGCGACGGGGGCACAGAGTCCCCCAAATCTAGCTCATCTTGTTACTGTTACCGAAGGACATAAAGATAACTGTGGCACAGTGAGTGAGGGTCTTCTGACTGGAAAGTCTTGAATAGGAGACAGAGCAGTCCTCCAACAAGTTTATCTGAATCCCAAGTGGCGTGAACGACTTTGTTCTTCAGCTTCCTCCACACTTAAGCCAATGAGGAACGTACTTGCACAAGAAGATGAATGTGAACTCAATTATTTGGATACTTGCCTTCTTTCTGGGTGAAGTTTCTTTCAGATAACAACAGTACAAAACAACGGCAGGTATGTAAATCACCAAATCGGCAATAAAAACTGAAAGACAAAAGGTTAACAGTTCATGAGGGTCCGCCCTCAGTCTCGGCTAGCTCCCCCCTCCATCCTGCCACCCTGGACCCCGCCCAGGAAGTACACCGAGGGGTCCCCCACTGCTGACGGGCGCCTCTCTCCTCCACTGCTGCTTGTCACCTCACACAGATGGACGCACACACTTCCTCCAAAGTCCCCCTTCAAAAGCAGCACAGAGAGAGTAGAGGAAAAAATAACAACCCTGTCTTCTAATGTAATTGGCTGCTTCTGGCAAGACAGAGGAATGCCAACACGGCATGCCACGTGAAATGGTACATATGACCACATGAAAGTGTAAAACATCTAACAGGATACCGTAGCAAGAACAGGTAAACTCGTCAGAGGCAGACAGAGCCATGGGCAGAAAGGCTGCCCCCACCTGCAGCTACAGGCCTGAGGAAGCAGCCTCCCAGCAGGGCCCCCCCACCAGCCGTAGCTCCCCGCCCCTTCTTCTGCTCACAAACTCCCCAGGGAACATGGCAGGCATGTGATAACCATTAGCTGAATTTACAAAAGCATCACAACCTCCACCAGAACCATGAACACCAAAGCTCCTGGCCTTCTTCACTGTCTGATGGCCAGGCAGGAGAGCTACAGACTCTATGGAGGGTGCGAACTTCCTGGATCCACCCAACCCACCCAATGCTATAGTTAGAAGGTGACAACAAGTATGATGCTCCAAGCTTCTGTTGACAATGATGACCCCACAGGGCAGCTTAAGGTTCCTTAAATGTTTTGGACAGCTCACACAAAGAGAAAAGCAGCAAGGCAGAGCGAAGAGATCTCTAAACTTGGAGGGAGGAAGAGCCGCGTCTCAATCCTCCTTAGACCTGCGATAGCTGTGTAACGATGGGCCTTATGAGGCTTCTTTACTGGTCAAATGGGGATGAGAACAATCCACTGCTGGGGCGTTGTGAGGATCACAGGGGAGAACGCACGCACAAGTCTAGGCACAGCTACAGCACAGCACAAATGCTGGCTGCCATTACAGAGTGGGTCCTCATCCTTTTTTTCAGGTCAGAAAATGAGCGAACACAATCATGCAGGTGCATTTGTAGCAAACACTCTTTGGTAATGAGAAGGAAACAGACCTTAATTTGCCACATGACCACAGTAAAGACCTCTCAAAACAACAGTCTGAATTGTGCGTTTTAGAGAAATGCCATTATACTGCTTCAAAGAACATGGAGAGCAGAAAAAGCCAAGATGGCGGCACAGAGGAAACACTCAGCTGAGCTCTCCCAACATTCCCTGCCCACTCAACTCAAATGATGAAGCAGCAGAGACAAGAGGGAGACATCTTTCTAGCGCACAAGGCAGCAACACCACTGGGGGGGCCTTGGCGGTAACGGCGGCAGCAGCCCCTTTGGGAACGCTCAGTCCAGAGACTCCCAGGGTGTCAGATAACTGATCAGAAAGAGATTACAGAGGGCCCTGGGCGGGCAGTGGGCGCAGGACCCGCTGCTGCCTGATAACTTCATTCACAGTTTCAGGTCAGAGTTCTAGAGCACAAAGGCATGCTAGCACCTGCAACTGCAGGGGAGCAGGGCCCTTCCTAGGTAAAGACCACAGCGCAGACCAAGGGAGCAGTGACCACACCTCTCCCCAGATTACCAAAAACATACAGACCCCCAGAACTGGCTGTGAAAAACAGCAGGGTGAGAAAGCCTGAAGCTTAGAACACTGCCTCCCTGCCATGCCCCTACCCCACCCCACCCCACCCCACAGTGAGCAGAGCCCAACTTTAACATAAAAGTCAAACTCAAGAAACAGGCTGGAAAAAGGAGCAAACAAAAGAATCTGACCATAAAAAGCTACTATGGTGACAGGGAAGAGCAAGACACAAACTCAGAAGAAACTTCCTTGAAAATAGCTACATACAAAGCCTCAAAGAAAAATGCAAATTAGAAATAAGACCAACACGGATTCCTGGAAGAGTTAAAGAAAGAGCCAAAAAATGATTTTAAAAATCAAACAAGGGTGGTACAGGAAAAATCAGGAAAAGAAGTGAGAGCAAGGGAAGAAAATCATGAAACAATAATTAAGGGCTTGGTAAAAGAGGCAAAAAAAAAAAAAAAGAATAATGAAAAAAATAACACCTTATAAAGCAGACCTGGTCAAATGTGCAAAAGAGGTACAAAACATCATGGAAGAGAATAATTCTTTTAAGATCAGAATTGAGTAAGTGAAAGCCAATGACTCCATGAGACATCAAGAAACAATAAAACAAAGTCAAAAGAATGGGGAAAAAAATTATAAAACATCTGACCTGGAAAACAGATTAATGAGAGACAATTTCAGAATTACTGGACAACGTGAAAGTCATCATCAAAGAAAGACACTAGATATTACCCTGACAGCTTAGAACCAGAAGGTAAAATGAGAAACTGAAAGAATCCACCAGCCATCTCCTGAAAGAGATCTCAAAGTGAGAACTCCCAAGAGTATCATAACCAAATTTCAGAGCTCCCACAATAAGGAAAAATATTTCAAGCAAGCCAGAAAGAAACCACTGAAATACCATGGAGCTATATCAGAATATAGCTACCACAATAAAGGAGGAAGAAAGCTAAGAATAACCTACCCAGCTAAACTGAGTGTAATCCTTTAAGGGTGCAGGGGGGAAAAGGGATATTTAATGAAAGAGAGGATTTTTGAGCATTCCTGATGAAAAGACAAGAGCTGAACAGAAAATCTGACTTTCAAATACAAGACTCAAAAGAAGTATAAATAGGTAAGATCATAATGATAAATCTGTTTACATTCCTATATGGGAAGATGACACAGTAATTTCTAAGAACTTATCATAATTAGGACAGTTAAAAGGAGCCTATATGTAGACAGAGGGCTGGGTGTGGTTCAGTTATGTTGAGATGATCTCAAAAAAAAATCTTTTAAATGGACAAGTGAGAAAAAGGGATGCACTGGGAGCCGGTGGAAGAATGGGGAAAATTATCTCACACAGAAGAGATACACAAGGAAGAGCTTTTACAGTAGAGAGGAAAATGGGGCAATGCTTCAACCTCACCACCATCTGAACGGTTCAAAGGGGGAAGGATACATATACACACTCAAGGAAGCAGGAGGAAAAGGGGGCAAAGAGCACTGGTAAGAGGAAGAAGGATTAAGGGAGGCAGGAGTCACAAGCAAAAGAGACTTCTGAGGAGGAACAGGGTCAAAAGAGAGAGAGAAAAAGAGACAGAAGCAAACAGGAGGGTTGGTGATCCGAACTGTGAATACGCATGGAATGAATTCATCCATAAAACAGAAGTGGATTAGAAACCAGAACCCAACAATATGCTGCTTAAAAGAATCACAGGTAAAGCAGAAAGAATCACACAGCTAGAATAGGGTGTGGCAGCAGAATCTGTTATGCTTTAATGAGGTGGGAATCATGATCTCGGATGAAGAAAAACCAAAACCAAACCTAATTAAAGGAGATAAGCAGGAAAACAACATCTTTCTAAAAGGCCCTACAGAAAATGAAGTCATGTCAATACTAAATATATATGTAGCAAATGGCAAAGCATCCAATTTTTTAAAGGAAAAGTTAAATGAATTACAAAAGAAAATAGTAAAGCTATACTTGTGAGGAACCCCAACTTTCAGAACTAGATAAATCTAACCATAAAATAAATAGGAAAAAAATTTAAGAAAACAGAATTTTAGAAAAGTTAGATATGATGGACCTCTAGGGAAAACTGAATGGGAATAAAAAGGAGTCTATCTTTTTCTCAGCTGTTCATGACACCTTCACAAAAACTGGCCATGGATTAAATCCTAAAAACCTTATAAACAAAGGCAAAAAAGCAGAAATATTAAATGCCCTTTTTCTGGGCCATAATGTAATGAAAAATAACATTCAATAAAAGGGCCTTTGCAGCATATATTTAAAAACTGATTAGAAACTAAATAACATAATCCTAAAGAATTAGTGGGTCAAAGAACAGCAACAATAACGTCATTAAAGATAATGACAACAAGGAGACACCAGACCCAAACACACAGGTGCGGCCACAACGGTGCTTAGGGGGAAATTTATTTCTCTAAATGCTTACATCGGTGAAAGAAAGAGAGATCATTGGACTGGGGATGCAATTTAAAAAACCAGAAAAAGAACAAATTAAAAATCCTCAATTAAACACCAAAACAGAAATCCTGAAAATCAAAGGAGAGATTAATAAAATTGAAAGTAAAAAAACCACTGAACTAATAAATAAAATAGAAAGCGATTTAATTTGATTTTAAAAAAGAAAGAAAAAACCCAAATTGCCAGTATCAAAAATGAAAAAGGTAAATGTACCACGAACGAAGATGAAATTTAAAAAAATTAGCAGGAGCTATTTTGACCAATTACATGCCAATAAAATTGACAATGTAAGTAAAATAGATGAATATTTACAAAAATATAAACTGTCCATGCTAATAGAGAATAAATAAAACACTTAAATAACCCTATCTTGGAAAAAGAAATTGAACAAGCCATAAATGAGCTCTCTAAGAAAAAAATCCCCAGGACCAGATGGATTGACAAGTGAATTCTACCAAGCATTTAAAAAAACAATTAATTCCAACATGACATAAACTATTTGAAAAAATAATAAAGAAGTCTACCAAATTCCTTCTATGACACAAATATAGTCTTGATAACTAAATCAGGGAGAACAAAAACAGTGAAATAAAACTATAGCCAAATTTCCTTAATGAATATTGAAGCAAAATTTTAAATAAGATCCTAGCAAGGACATTGCAGCAACATGTCACAAGGACCACATATTATGATCAGGGGGGACTGGTATCAGCAATGCAGAACTGGTTCAATATCAGGAAAACTATCTGCATAACTGACCATATCAACAACAAAAATCAGACGATTCCATTGACAGACGCAGAAAAAGCTTTGGGACAGAAAACAGCCCCCATTTCATTTTATAGAAGAAACAACAGAAAGCACAGGAGCAGATGAAGTTTTCCTTAAAAAGATAAACAGTGGCTACGTAACACCAAGAGCAGGCGTTACCTGTAATGGAGATACACCCGAAGTCTTCCCAGTAAGGTCGGGAATGGAGCGAGGCTGTCCACCATCACCACTACTATTCCATACTATACTAGAAGTGCGAGCGACAGCAGTGAGACAAGAAGAATCAACAGAAAGCGTAAGACTGGGCAATGAGGAAACAAAACGATCACTCTCTGCGGATGGTATGACGGCGTATTTAGAGAACCCTAGAAAATCAACGAAAAACCTAGCCGAAACCATGAACAACACTAGCAAAGTGGCGGAACATAAAATAACCCTGTAAACATCAGCATTTCCATATCCGACCAACAAAGCCCCGTGGCAAGAGACAGAAAGAGAAATGCCACTTAAAATGACTGCAGGCAACATAAAATACGTGGAAGTCTACCTGCCAAGACAAACCCAGAAACTGCATGAACAATTAATAAAACACTTTTCAGACAAATAAAAACAGACTAAACATTGGAGAATTGGAGAAATATTCATTGCTCAAGGGTAGACCAAGCCAATGGAATAAAAATGACAACTCTACCTAAATTACTTACTCAGTGCCAGACCAATCAAACTAACAGTTATTTCACACAACTAGAAAAAATAACAACACAATTCATGTAGGAAAAACAAAAGGTTAAGAGTATCAAGGGGCAGCTGGGTGGCACAATGGATACAGCACCAGCCCTGAAGTCAGGAGGACCTGAGTTCAAATCAGACCTCAGAGCAAACACTTGACACTTGTGACCCTGGGCAAGTCACTTAACACCAATTGCCTTAAAAAAAAAAAAGAAAGAAAGAAAAGAAAAGAATATCAAGAGAATCAATGAAAAAAATGCTAAGGAAGGCAGCCTAGCAGGACCGGATCTCAACCTACATCACAAAGTAGTCATCACCAAAACAATCTGGTCCTGGCTAAGAAACACAGCGGTGGATCAGTGGAATAGATTAGGTATACCATATACAGTAGTAAATGACTATTATAATCTAGTGTTTGATGAACCCAAAGATCCAACATTTGGAGGCAAGAACTCACAGTCTGCCCAGAACTGCTGGGAAACCTGAAAAGCGGTCTGGCAGAATCTAGGTAGAGACCAACATCTCACACTGACAGTACCACGACGGCGCGCTCAGTGCAGAAAGAGAAGTAACAAGCTGAAAAGATGGGCTGGATTCTAGAGAATGATCTGGAACTCTGCCCAAAGGGCCATCAAACTGCTCCTACTCTTTGACCCAGGAATCTCACTCTGAAAGGGTCTATATCTCAGAGACAAAAAACCAAAAGGAAAAGGACCCACATGTACAAAACTATTTAGAGCAGCTCGTTCAGTAGTGGCTAAGGACTGGAAACTGAGGGGCTGCCCATCAGCTGGGGAACGACTGAACAAGCTGTGCCATGCGCCTATGAGGGAATGCTACTGTGCTGTAAGAAAGGACGAGCTTTCTTAAGAAGGACGCCCTCAGAAAAACTTGGAAAGACTTGTATGAACTGACATGAAGCGAAGTGAGCATTACAATGACAATCAACCATGGAAGGTTTAGCTAATGGATGGGAGAGGCAAGGAGAGAATTAGGAACTCAAAATTTTTAAAAATGTTAAAATAAATAGTATATAACTTTTAAAAATAATTTTAAGAAATAAAGAACACAGAGTCATGCTTTGCAGAATAAAAATCATTTGGAATTAGAATAAGAAGCACTACCCAAGCCAGGAGAACTCTGTTTATACAACCATCATTTATTTGCACTGCCATATTCGCTCTGAAATGCTGACCTGTACCGAACAGCCTCTTCTCTTGGGCTTGTTCCCATTTTCCCTTCTATTCCATCGTATCTGATTTAAGATCAATTCAGGATTGGTCAAGGATAAATAAATATGGGATCACCATACTGGTGTATTCAGTGGCACTATCTCCCACTGCATTTAACTTACAAGAATGAGAATTATGTAAATCATGCAGCTGCTACAGGCCCCCATGGGGAAGTATGACCAGGCCTCGGACTCACCCAGCGCCCGGTGCCCTTCTCGATCGATCTCCTGGGTGGGACCCTTGAAGCGTCCCCACCTGCAGTCTAGTCCCTCTCCTCAGACAGGCAGAACTACTGAGAGGCATGGCCTGAGCTGGCCTCCCTGCTGGGCTCTCTCTGACCACCCAGTGAAGCAGGAAGAAGGAAGCATTTTGTGGCCGTGTAAGCACCTGTGTGACATCCCTTTGAGAGCACAGACCGCCCTAATCCTCTGTCCTGACCTGTTCTGTTTTCTTCTATTCAAGTGGAAGTCCTGAGTCCTGACTCTCTCCTGGTCAAAAGCTTAGCTGGATAGAATTAAAAATAAAATGTACATCAATTACTTCCATCACAACCACATGAGATTCATTTGCTCTCTGACACAGATGCCTGCTTTTAGGAGGGATTCTTAACCTAGGGTCCATAAGTTCCTTTTTAAAAAATATTTTAATAACATTTAAAATATAATTGGTTCCCTTTATAGTCCTATATATTATTTTTGTTTAATGCATTAAAAAGCATTCCTCTGAGAAGGACTGGAGGGACATTCTAAGGCCTGGCCAGCCTGCCAAAGTGGTCCAGGACACCAAAATGGTCAAGAATCCCCGTTTCAAAGAAACACTAACCTCCTTTTTCAGTTGTAGGCACAGCTTAAAGATACTGTACTGTACTCTGCAGGCAAATGACGGGATATTCAAAGGTAATTCTGACTACACACGATTTTCTCTTTATCTACTGACTTCAGAATCTAGCCCCTGTATAAGATGTGACTCCACTATAACAAAAAAAAACCACCCACAAATATGTGAGAAAATAATTTTACCTTTGTTAATGTTTGCAAAATGAGAAAAATAAAATGTACTGAGTTATAGTGGCATCTAGGTAGTGCAAGGAATATAGTGCTAGTTCTGGAGTCAGGAAGACCTGAGTTCAAATCCAGCCTCAGACACTTACTATCTACTGACCGTGGGCAAGTCACTTCACCTGTTTGCCTCAGTTTCCTAAACTGTAAACTGGGGATAACAGGAATACCTACTCCAAAGGACTGCTGTGAGGATCCAATGAGGTAATATTTGTAAGTGCTTGGTACAGTGTCTGGCACACAGCAGGGGCTACGCGAATGCTTCTTCCCTCCCCCTTCCCCCCTTTAAATTCAAAGTACAGCATTTTCCTACCTGTTGAACGCATGAATAACTTGTGCTGATCACTCTCATAACCCCGGGATGTGTGGAGAGCGACCCAGTCTGGATTGACAAACTCTGCCCTATAAAAGAAAACATGGAGGGGCTTAAGCCAAGATGGGCACTGAACTTCTCTCCTCTATCACTCTTCACACTAAGTGCATTTGAGCTTATGCTCAGAAGAAGCCACTTTGTTACAAGGCCACATGCTCACTGAAGACATTTTGCTTTGACTTAAATTCTTCAAATGGTAACAACTGGGAAACCAACTGGGCTTTAAAGCAGAGCGGCTGCAGGGCCTGAAGAGCAGGGCCTGCCTGGGCTGTCATCAAACCCACTTACTGAGCTCCCACAAGGTGTGCAAATCGGGGGTTCACCTAAGACCTATTTTAAGACTTACCAGCCACCCTGAGAGGCGCTGCAGGCCAAGGGCTGGGTTTGGAGTCAGGAGGCCTAAATGCCACTGACATTCCTTGGCTAGAGTGTGTGTGGGGGGAGGAGGGGGTTGTGGGAGATGAGTCTGGAAAGATGCCCAAGGGTCAGACTCAAGGACTGTAAGTTGCAAAACCTGGGACAGCATGTGCCTTCTTTACCAGGAGGCTCGTGGCTGGGTGTGACCACTCTGGCAGCGGAGCGCATGCTGGGGAGGTTACCGCAAGAGTCCAGCTGACAGCAAATGAGCGTCTGGCTCAGACTTGTGGCCAAGTGAATGGAGAAAAGAGGAAAAGACGTAAGACAGGCTGTGAACGGCTAGACTTACGTCCTCACTATCACCCCTCTGCATAGCACAGCAAGTCAGAATATCTCACTAATTTTTTCAAAAGTGGGAAACTGTCAAAACAGACAGACTGACACATGTCCATGCATGGACGTTGGGCAGACGCTGTGTCTGCTTTGTCCGACATACTGAACGCCACCACAAATCTGCCTTGAAATCCAAAATCTGAAGTCTTTGATGAACTCCATGTCAAATTGTAAACTAGGGAAGTCATTACAATCCCATTTCCAAGTGAGAGAGTATTAGGATGCTACAGGAACTCTGGTTTCCACCAAAACAGCCTGCTGTCTGAATATATCTTTTTCTGTTACTCTGAAATCCACAAAGCAAACTTTCCTAGCCAACAAATGACACACGCTACTTCTATTACATTGTCCAAAAACCATTATGAGTGAAAACTGACATTTTTGCTTTGTGGGAAAAGCTAGATTATTAGCTTATATTTATTCAGAGCATGTGTGCCAAAGAAGCCAGAAGTCCTCCCAACAATCTACTCTTATTAAGTAGTTATAATACTCCACAAATGATAAGAAAGTAACCACCCAAATCTGATCACCCTGACCTTCAATCCTCCAATACACATGGAATGATGGGGAGCATAGCCACTGGATAAGATGTGACTTAGTAACAGTACAGTAATGCTTCTCTCTCAAAACTGTGAGGCACCCCAGTGTTCTCTCTCTCTACAACAAAAGGCTTCTTAGCATCACCGTAAGAAGTCCACGGCAGCTAGGGAGCGCCATGGCACCCAGAGCGGTGGGCCTGGAGTCAGGAAGACCTGAGGTCAAATGTGACCTCCGACATTTACCACATGGGTGACCCTGGGCAAGTCATCTAACTGCTGCCTGCCTCAGTTTCCTCATCTATAAAATGGGCATAATAGCACCTACATCCCTGGACAGCTGTGAAGATCATATGATAAAATATTTGAAAAGGACTTTGCAAACCTTAAAGTCTATGTAAATGCTAGCTCCTGGGAGTACCCTGTTCAGGATGAATAACTTACACATAGGCACATAAAAGACTGTGGTAGGCTGTGAGAGGTGGATAGTCTAGACCCCAGTACTGTAAATTGTTATCACTGCTATTGAAGTACCTGAAAAATAAGAAAACACATTTATTAACCAATGTTTGTGAGAAGAAATCTACAAAGAATTCAGTATCTCATTTTATTTCATTTCAAATAAAGCAAACTGCTCAATTATGCTACACAACACAAAATGAGTTTGTCACAAACATTTCTGTCTACTCAAATCTATTTTTTCCCCAAAGCTGTGTAAAATCCATCTTAAACACATGCTAGCAACAGCACTTCGTTACACAGTCACAATGGGGGTAGGGGCTTGGGGCAGGGGGGGGGCGCGTGGGCGGCTAGAGAGAACTCCCAGACCTGAGACATGGAAGGTCTCACTGGTCGAACAGCCTGGAGGCCGGTGTCCCAGGGTCAAAAAGTGAGGTGGGAGAAGACTGGAGCAGTACAAGGGGGCAGGTGATGAAGGACTTTGAATGCCAGAGTGAGGATTTGCAGTTTGATCCTTGAAGCAATAGGGAGCCACCACGGTTTACTAAGTAGGGGGTGACACGATCAGACCTGAGCTTTAGGAAAAGCACTTGAGTGACTGAACAGAGGAGGGACTGGAATTGGGAGGCTGAAGGCAGGCAGACCCCCCAGCAGTGACTGCCACAGTCCAGGCATGAGGGGATGAGGGTCTGCACCAGGGCAGGGGCCGCGTCAGAGGAGAGAAGGGGGCGTAGCGGAGATAGAGACACAGTGAGAAGCCTGGGATGACTCCTACATTGGGAGCCTGAGAGACTGGGAGGAGGTGTACCCTCCGCAGTTAATACCTACTGGGTGACGCAATGGCCAGAGTCAGAAGACCTGCGTTTAAGTCTGGCCTTAGATACCGAGGCTGCGTGCCCCTGAGCACTCTATGCCTCAGTTTCTTCATCTGTAAAAATGGGGATAATAATAGTACCTGTCTCTCATGAGTATCACGTGAGATATTGGAAAAGCACTTTGCAAACCCCAAACCACTATATAAGTGCTATTATTATCATTGTTATTATTAACTTTATTTATCATTCTCCATTATATTGCTCTATTAATCTGGTTAGATTATAAACTTTCCCCAGGGAAAAGATCTATTTATTATATTTCAGCAGAGCCTAGCACAATACACACAATAGAGCCTTTAGAAATATTTGTGGATAATAAATAGATTTTATTTAAAGAGTTATTTTAAAGAGTTCTGCAGATGAGGAAACTGAGATCCAGAGTTAAGTCACACATACAGTATATGCCTGGGGCAGGATTTGAATACAGAGTCTGCATTCTATCCATTGTACAAGATATGCAAGAAAACTCTGCATACACTTTGGTTGCAAGGGGAAAAGCATCAGTGAAACTAGGTAGCTTTAGTACATTGTAAGTACGTTCTACCACAAAAAGAACAGAATTAAAGCAAGTGGAGTGGACTAGAAACAGTCTTCTCTTTTGTTCCCTAACAAATGTATCATCACCACTGAATAAACGTTAAGGGTCTCACTACTTTAAATGAAGCATGTGCAAAATGTGATGTTTGCAAAAGTAAGACACATTTTAGACACCCCCGCAGCACCAACGCTCTCCTCATACAAAACAATACGAAAAATAAAGGGGAAAGGGATTTCTGCAGGGTAATTTTGAGCATTTAAACTAACACCATCTCTACTAGATAAAAGACTTTTTTTCAAGAAAGTAAGTTACCAAAAGAAGAGATCAGCCCCTCTGACTGTCTTTCATAACCGCCAGGAGGCGTGTTCTTGGCTTTTCCAGGCCATCCACTCAAATGCAGAACATGGGACTTTGATTACAATCAATGATATTTCTTGAATTCCTCATAAGCCACCTGAACTATCTTATGAACTGATAATAAATCACATTTCTTTAAGCTGCATCTCTGTTCCTGAGTTCACCATTCAAAATTGTTCATGTTGATACTATTTACTCTTGTAAATGAACTTTAATATTCTGCAAATCCGAGTAAGAGTTCCTCTTACTCTACTACAACCACTTTAGTTGCTAATTATCAAGTGATAAGAATGGCCACAGTTTAAACAGCAGCAGAGGCCACAGCTCAGGCAAACCTCCTCTGGGCTCACGCCTTTGAAGCAGCAGGGGATGGTGGGATGAAGAACAGATGATGAAAAGCTAGGTGCTGTCTATAGGCCAAGCACTGGGATGAGCTCTAGAGAGACAAAGAGAAGGCTAGACTGTCCCTGGCCTCAGGAAGCTCACTCTCTACCCCAGGAGGGTCCGGCTGCTAGGCGGATGGAAAGATCTACAGCACGGGAAAGCCAAAGCTGATGCGTCTTCTGCAGTGTCATTCCCATCTACCGGCACTGCTGAACCACTTACTTGTGCCAAGGACTCTGGGGGCTTCAGCAGCAATGGCTCCCGGGGAGCAAGGCTGGCAGTATAGGAACGACGGCATCTTCAGAGGCACATGGGGGACCAGGCCAAGCTGAGACCAGCAGCCTGAGAGGGTGCCGTCTTCCTGTGGAGCTCTGGCTTCCCTGCCCACACCCGGCGGCTGGCCATGGTGAGGACTGCAGGGGCTGCCAACGGGGCTTGTGGTGTGGGGGTGCCATCCCACCTGGGATCACTGGGTGCTGTGACCTGAACTGTCTCTACCTGGGTGTGAGGCGAGACGGTGATGAAAATGATGGGGGTCGCCTGTCCTGCCTGGCACACGCTGCCTTCTGTGTCTCCTGAGAGCTTTGCTGCTGGCCTGCCCCGTCTACGGTAACTGGTCAGCAATGGGTACCGGTGGTAACAGGAAGGGCCTGCAGCCCAGGATCGGGGCTGCTGCTCTAAGGGACCATGCTGGGCTCCTGGCTCACCTGTCCATTGAGGGCGGAGCCTGGGACCAAGAACAAAGGGTAGAAGCTACAGGACGAGGCAGCACAAGCAGGGGCCGCTCGGAGAGGCCGTGGAGCAAAGGCCGATCTGGCCCTGTGCTCTACAAGCAGGAGATGAGCCTCTCTAAAATTCCACAGCCCCATAAAGGATCTTGCTGACGAACGGCACATCATAGGCCCACAGCAGGAGATGAGCAAATGCCACGGGCCGCAATCACTGCTTCTGGGGGCCTCTGTGAGACGCTCCACATGGTTGTGCCACCTTCCCTCGTGGGTCGGCTATGAGGATGAAGCACCGGCCCGATCTCCAGGAACAGGGGGAGGCCAGCTCTTCCTTGTCTCGAACTTAGGATCAGTCCGCAACAGTCCTTCAGTTTTAACCAAAACTCGCAGTTTTCACCTGCTCCAACAGAAAACACTGGCCCAGACAAAAGCCGGCTAACGCGGCTCAGGGCTGCTCAGGGAGCTTTTGCTCCGCCCACCTGGCAGGTGAAAGTAACAGAAAATAATGTCCGAATGCTGCAGATTACACGAAGACCTGGAGAGGGCCTCAAAGGCCAAAAGCCAGCGTCTGCCAAGCCTAGAAATGACTCTTAGCCATTCATCTGCCACGGCCGCCTCTCCCCAACTGACAAGACCAAGTCGTGAAGGATGATGTTTCTAAAGGAAACACTAATTGGATAAGCCCATTCCCAAGTCCATGTGAAGGGCCTACTACGTGCCATGCACAGTGCTAGACATGAGAGTTAAAATGGGCGATTTAAACAAGGTCAGACACGGAATTTGGGTCCACAGGGGAAACAACAGAAGAACACAAAATCTTTCAGGCCTTTGGGAACTAATCTACCTCTCATTTTATAGACGAGGAGCCTGAGAGTCTGTGACATGAAGTGACTTGCCCAAGCTCACACAGGCCAGGGACAGTGCCAGGATCCGAAGCACCCAGCGAAGGGAGGGGTCACCCTCCACACCCTTCCTTTGACAGCTGAGACAACTGAGGCCTGGCAAGGGGCAGCGATGTGCCCTGGGCCTCCTGGGCCAGGATTCAGACTCTGGTTCCCTGGCTCTCTGACTCTACCACATCAAAGCGCATACCCAGTACGCTGTAGAATCTGCAAGGAACATGGAATAAGCCTGGCCTCTTCTCTTTTGAGCTATGGCCCAACAGAGCTGGGCTGGGCGCTGAGAAAGGAGCGACGGATATCACACAGCCCCTGGTCTCGAGAAGCTGAGGGTCTACCAGACAGGAGACCATTAGCTGGGACATTTGGTACAAAGAAGAGGTTCAGGCGAAGGGCTAGGAGTAAGCTGAGGAACTCTTAGGGAAAAGCACCAGGGACAAGCAAAATGGAGGATACGCTGGGCTTAAAAGAGAAGGCCTTCAATGGGCAGGGACTGCGGGTGGTGGGACCATTCCAGTCATGGGGATGGCAGGACAGGGTTAGCTCTGGGAGAGAGATGGGAAGGAGTAGGGTAAAAACAGGAAACAGAAAGCAGTCCAGTTTAGAAGAGAAGTGGCCGGCTCATGGAATCATCTACTGGGAACTGGAAAAGCCCAAAAAGGTCATCTAGTCAAACCCTTCATTTTACAGAGGAAGAAAGCAAGGCCAGCTATATCACACTGGGAAGCAGCAGAGCCAGGATTCAAACTCAGGTCCCATGACTCCAAGGGGCTATGAGGTAAGGCCCCTCTACTGGACCATAACATCCCATAATTCTGACTTTTCCTTGGCCTTCCTGTTCCTAAACCATCCTTGCCCTTGGCATCACCCCTCAGTAATTCCTCATGCCATTATCACCCCCTCCTCCCTGGCCAGTCTCTACCACTTAGTTACTGGTTCAACTCCACCCTATCCTAGGCTCCTGAACCTTGTGCTTCAGCCTGGGATTCCTCCTGGCATCTACCCCCTCTGGTCCTACTCGGCGGCTGAAGCAAGTTGGGGGGGGAAGTCCCCCAGCTGTGCTACATGGATCTCCTCTCCTCTCTACTTGGCCCTCACTGAGTCGGAGCAGGCCCTTTCCTCCTCCCTAATTGATTCGCTACCCCACTCAGCACGGCAAGCTGTTCCAAACCTTCTCTTCTCTCCTCACGTCTCCCCCAGCACCCTTCCCCCACCTGCTCGGCTGAGGACCTCGCCTCAGAACCCCTCGACCACACAGCCACTATTTCCTCCCTGCCGGCTCTGATGAGGAGGTGGCCTTCACCGTAGCCAACCCAAACTCTCTTCACGTGCCCTTGATCCTACCCCCGCCCGGCTTCTTCAGCAGATGGTCCTATCAATCACCCTCATTGGGTTCTAATCTTCAGTCTCTTCTTTTGAGCAGGTCCTTCCTGTCAATTCAAACACATTCGAGTCTTCCCCATCTTTGGAACGTACTTCACTCATGAGAAGCCCCCATGACAAGGAATACAAGTGGAATAACTGTATGGAGGGCAAGATGAAGACAGCATCATTCACCATTCAGGTGAATGGAAAACAATTTTTTCCAATGGTGCAGATAGTTTTCATTTATTTAATTATTGTTTCACATTTTAAAATTGCTCACAAGCTCAGAAAACTATAAACAGTAGGATTAAGGTAATTATGCATACCACTCCTTGACCGGTAAATTCAAAGTAATTTCTTGCCAGTGTCTCTGGGCTTCGTAATCTCCAAACATGGGAGGTTTTCCAGCACCTGGAGAAAAAAGGGAGAGAAAAGCAAGGAAATGGCATTGTAGCATGTCAGTAATGTCGTCTTATTTGCATAGCCTTTTCTTTAATCAGGCATCTTAAGGAGTTTGCTTTTTGTGACTCCTCTCCCACACTAAGAAAAGCACACCACACCTGGGCACTGTACAGAGGACTCACAGATGACTCCTAGCCTCAAATACTCATGGATCTCTGACCATTCCCGTCAAGACGGCCAGCCACACTTGCAGATCCTGTGGGACTCCTGTCCACGCCACCCCATAAATCCACGACTGGCACTTCACCCAACATGCATGTGGAGCCTTCCTTAATTTCTCTTGAAGGAAGAAAGGAAGGAACAAGCATTTACTGAACGCCTACTATGTGCCAGGCGCTATGCTAAACACTTTGCAAATGTCATCCCATTTGATCCCCAAAGCAACCCTGTGGGATCTGTAAGATTATCACCCCCATTTTACAGTTGAAGAAACTGAGGCAAACACGGTCACACAACTAGTACGTGTCTAAGACCAAATTTGAACTCAGGTCTTCCTGACTCCAAGCCCAGCGCTCTATCCAGTTCACCACCAGTGATGGGGCACACAGGCTGCCATCTTGACAGACCTCATTCTCACACGTGACCCACCCACCATCTTTGTAACTCATACATTTCTTGGATGACATCTTTTATTAAGAGTTTATAAACTAGAGCGCAAACTTTGAAAGTGGGTAACTACCTACAGATCCATTAGGGCCCTCCACCATTCCTTCCCCCAAGACATACTTTTCTTCATTAAAAAGCAGGTTTATTTCTTCTCATTTGCCTCTTTCTCCTAAAACTCAAGACTCCCAGGATTTCTGAGTTGGAAGGGTCCTTGGAGCCGTCCAAGCCACCAACCTGCCCTGATGGTCATGGAGCCTTGGCTTGGGGGTCTCTAGTTGTGGGACGCAGGCCTCCCAGGGGAGCCCATGCCATCTGGGGAGAGCTCTAACTGGTGACAAATTGTTCCTGCCATCAGTCCTAGATTCGTCTCTTTGTCACTGCCACCCACTATTGTAGTTCTTCCCTCTGGAACCAAACAGAACAAATCTGAAGCGGAGATGATCATCTTCACGACACCCTGAGGGTTACGACTTCACTTCTATAAAACTCATGATTAAATGAAAAGCTGAAGCAGCTATGCATGTTGCTTTTCTGGATCTCAATAAAACAATCTCCACTGTCCTCATCGGTTTCCTCGGACTCAGAAGGACACACAGGACCTTCTTATGCCAGCACTGATTGCCCCTTCAGCCTCCTCTGATTCCTTTACTTTAATACCAGGGGGACACTGAGTAGACACATTAGCTTTTGCCACTAAAGACAGTCAATGCCAAGCAGTGGTTTCCAAACCTCCGGCCCATGGGGGCTTTTGTTTTTTGAATATTTAGATGATCCACAAACTACCGGAGTGTCATCCTCCTGCAGCACCACAGATCAATCAATTGACCCATAGCTATAGATCACTTCCTACGTGCCAGGCACCATGCCAAGCTTTCACATAACAGCAGTTTTACTCTCCAGTGAAACTGCAATGGCTGCCTCCACTTCTTCCCTCATTCTCTTCTTAACTCTTTCCAGTCTGGCTTCTGACCTCATCATTCCACTAAAGCTGCTCTCTCCAAGGCTACCCACGATCTCCAAATTGCCAAATCCAATGGCCTTTCCCCCTCCTCACTCTCCCTGACCTCTCTCTCTGCAGCCTTCCCCACTGTTGCCCACTCGGCCCACTGTCTCCTGGCTCTCGTCCCACTTCTCTGACCAGCCCTTCTCTGTCCTCTACTGTTCCTTCATCAAGGTCACCTCCAATAACTGTGGTTGTCCTATCAGGCCTCTTCTCTTCTCCCTCTACATAATTTCACTTGGTGATCTCATCATTTCCCATCAATTCAATGATCATCGCCATGCTAATGATTCTCAAATCTATAGATCCAGCCCTAACTTCTCTGCTTATGGCCAACCACCTTTCAGACATTTGGAAATGGATGTCAGCAGAGATCTTAAACTCAACGTGTCCAAAACCGAAGTCATTTTCTGCCCCCTAAACTTTCCCCCCTCCCAAACTGCTTGCCCAGTCCCCCAGGCTTACAACCTAGGGGTCAGCCTCAGCTTCTCACCATCTCTCATACTCCATACCTGTTATGAAGTCATGCCAATTTTACCTTCATGATATCTCCAACATTCGCTGAACACATTTATGATTCACATAGTCCCAGACATCAGAAAACAACTTTATGCTTAGCTCTCTGCTAATGTTCCCGAAACTAAAATAAGCCAGTTGTTCTATATGGTAATACAAAATAGGGAGAGAAATGTCAGCCCACAGGACTGAATAAAATAGCCATGTTAGAACAGTCCTGACGCTACCAGAGATCTGCTGTCACATCACACCACTGACTCACATGGACTCATGGCCACTATGTTCATACAAATTGGTGTCTAGCCATGTGGTCGCCCAGCCTGTGAGGTGACTTTACAATTATCAATAACAGACTGCATCTTACTAGATTTGGTTCATTAGCTGACCCTATCAAAATTATTATCATTATTACTGATCTTATTTAATTTCATTGTCCTAGGTCTAGCTTTTCGGTCAATTTTTTTTTTTAAACCTGGCTCTATCACCCAGTCTGTTAGCGATCCCTCACAATTTGAGTCATCTTCTAAACTGATAAGTAAGCCTTCTAGAACTTACACCAATTTTATAAGAACAAAACACAAAGGTTATAACAAAAAAGGTTTAAATAAAGCCTAGTGTTGGCTCACGTTGGCGGTAAATATTAATAAAAAAGACTTTTCCTGAGTACATTAGGGTGAGTGGAAGAAAGGATCAATTGAAGGTGAAAAAAAGTATTACTCCATCAATCAACCAACAAGTGTGTGTAAAGGGTCACTGCACTAGGCAATGTGCTAAGCCCTAGGGAAAGGGACAACAACGAAGTATGCCTTGCTCTCAAGAAGCTTACAGTCGATTGGGGAGCAACAAAAAGGCCCCGTGAGCCACCTTCCCAGCCCAGGTGGACATATGGAGACTGCCAGAGTGGTCTCCAGACAGTGGAGATGAGATGGGCTCTGGAGCACAATAAGGAACATTCCAGGGCAAGAAAAGATCCCAGCCCCAGCCCAGGGAACCACAGGGCTGCAGGAACAGGAGCCAACTGGCACAGGGTGCCCCCCATCCCATTCTGGGTCACAGATCCACTGCAGATGGAGGGTGGCATTCTGGAATAAGGAGCTGTCAATCACAAGTCCTAGGTAGTAGACCAAGAAGCAAGTTTGGAAACACGCTGCATCCATGTAGCCTGGACCCGAGGAGTGCAAAGGGTTTCATTCCAGTCTGAAGCCTTCTCAGAAATAATCATGGCAGGAATCCCAGACCAGAGGGCAGCCTGCTGCTCTATCCCTCTGAAGCAGCAAGCCTCCCACCTGGCTGACAGTGGGTGAGTCCAGAAGCAGTCTGCTGCTGCTTAGACCTAAATCCAGGTCAATAACTTGTAGAGCTCGGATCGGGGGTGGGAGAAATCAGACTCTGCCCTGGCTCAGACCACTCTGGGAGCACTGACAGCTTGCAGGTCCCCAGCCTGTGCTGTCCCTCAGAGCCTGCAGTAAGATAACACTTGATATCCCAAGAAAGTAGCGACAGGACCAGCCCAGACCTTCCCTTCAGAAGCATACAGAGCCTGGTCCTAAATCTGGTATCAAGTCAGGATGTAGGCTGGAAGAATGAGAAAATAAACAAGAATCCTGCCAGAAAAAGTTACTGTGGTTACCAGGATGATCAAGATAGAAACCAAGAAGAAGACTGCGTCTAAAACATCTACAAGCAAAACACCAACAAAAAGCACAAGTTGGGCACAAATTCAACTAGAATTCCTGGAAAAGACAGAGAGCGCTAAAGAAAAAAAACTGAAAAGAAATGAGAGCTATGGAAGAAAGAATGAGAAAAGGAATTAACAACTTGGTTCAAAAAGTACAAAACCTTGTTAAAGACACAAAATGCCTAAAAACTGGAAGGGTCCAAAGAGAAGCCGACGACTTCATGATGCAATAAGAAATAATAACAATAATTATAGCTAACATGGATATTGCTCTACTGGGTACCAGGCATGGTGCCAAGTGCTTTACAATTATTATCTCACTGAATCCTCACAAAAACCCCAGGAGGTGGTGACTATTATTATTATTATTATTATTATTATTATTATTATTATTATTATTATTATCATCTCCATTTTACAGTAGAAAAAGCTGAAGTACAGAGGTTAAATGACTCTCCCAGGGTCACACGGCTGGAAAGTGTCTAAGGCTGGATTTGAACTCAGGTATTCCTGACTCCAGGCCCAATACTCTGTGTGTATGTGAGCGCGCATGTGCGTACACGCTATACAAATACACGAACACGTATACACACACAAATGTATACACATAATAGATGTATACACATACATGTGTGTACCGTACTGTAGGTCTGTATGTATACTTATACACATACATATGTGTATATATATATAAATATATATATATATACACACACACACACACGTCTGTGTATTGTTTTGTCTTATACATGTCAAAACACATACACGTATGTGTACAGATTTTGTACTTTTAATATGACCAACGCAGAAATCTGTTTTGCTCGACTATACATGGTTGTAGTACGTAATTTATTTTTCTTTTGTTCTCAATCAAAGGATAGGAAGAAAATGCTGAATAAAAAAAAACTGGACAGGGCAGCTAGATGGCGCCATTGATAGAGCTCTGACCTTGGAGTCAGGAGGACTTGAGTTCAAATCTGGCCTCAGACACTTGACCCTTAACTAGCTGTGTGACCCTGGGCAAGTCACATTGCCTCACAAAAAAAAACTGGACAACAAAAACTGTTTAAGGAAATATTGCAAACTTAGCATATCTGGATTTCAGTGATGTATTAGTCAAAATCTCTAATGCCATCCTTTTAAAAAATT